ATGTATATTATATTACATAATTATAATGTATAACATAAAGTATATGTACAAAGTATAAAATGTATAACATAAAGCACAGTGTATATATGTGTGTATATATTTCATTCTTCACTGTTTGTATTAACTGATATTTTATTAGACTGTTTAAAGGAACCAATTCGTGATTTCATTTTGCGAAATACACAACTCATATAATTCCATCCTTCCTCTACTATATCACATTTTCTTACTGTAATACCTTCACCGTCAGAGTTGAAATTAAATCCATAGGCCTTTATATGTAACTCGTGTTTAATTGCCAGGCTTAAAAAATAATCTATAAGTTCTTGTTTTTTATCTGAAATATTTTGTTTGGAGCCAACATTTGAATTACTTTTTTCTAATCTATTGATAACTGATTTATTTTTTTTTAAAACATTTTCAGAATCATTGATTTCTATTATCAAATGTTCCTGATCATTTTTATTGCACATGATATTTTCAATGTACATCATCACATTTTTGTCGATACCTTTTATATCGAATAACTGCTCAGATTTGTCATATTTATCAAAAAACTCATTCAAAAGATTATCGATTGCGTTTAAATGATTAATGAATTCACTGATATTATTTGCCCTTTTCTTAGTCGTTTGAAATAAATTTATAGCTTCTAAAATATTATTGTTGTAGAATTCATTTTGGTTATTTCTAATAGTTTTTGTATGCCATTTTAATATCAATTCAAGTACATTTTTCATCATATGAAACATTTTATTAAACTGTTGGATTATTTCTAAAATTAATTCACAATCTTTCAACTCTAGTCTTATTTCTGGATTACTTTGTATTATTAAAACGCAACGTAAATCTTTACTAAATACTTGTAACATATCACAAAAAAGGCAACAAATCATTATGTAATATTGTCTTATTTTGATATCTAAATTATTTTTATTTACTATTTTACCATCGTTTCCTTTTGCAATTATTTCACTAAATGTGTATAACTTGTCATTGTCCATTATAGCTTTCACACTTTTATCAGAATTTATAATATATTCCCAGCAAGAATTGTTTAACAGTCGTTCCATATTTTCTATACGCGAAGCTTTCACAAGTGTTGTAAGATATCCAAAAAGGAAAAAATATATAATATAAATAGAATATTTTTTATTCATCTTAAACTCAAGTGTAATTGAAATTGTTTAAAAATTAAGTTAAATACAAAAAAAATTTATTTCAATGTTAAAAATTATAATTAAAACTTAAAATTATCTTGTATAAATCCGTCACTTGCAGAATTTTACACAATCTTTAACAAGTTATTGGATGAAAGTTATAATTTATATGTAGTTGTCATGTAAAGAAAACTGTGTCAATACGTAAAATAAAATATAAAAATAAGATAATTTATTAAAATGATGGCAACTTACGCATTAGCGTTAGTTGTAATTATAACGAAAAAATGTTCCTTTCATTTCAAAAATGTATTATTTATCATTTTATTTCAACTTGGATGTAAAATGAATTAATAAGTCTAATAAATCAGTTATTTTTAAAAGCGCAATAATGACTTCATTGGCTTATGAAAATCTCATATTTTATTATTATTTTTTTTTTATGTATGTTAACATAATGATCAAATTTAATACATTTTATTAATTATTTTATTTATTTACAGAGTGATTCCGTTTATCATAACTCTTTCAATTACTTACAAAAACTAAAATTTCGGAAAGGCCATTCTCCATATAAGTAGAAAATGGCCTAAATAAAATGTTGATAGGACGATAAATAGTGTTGTATTATTAATTTTTAAGTTGTTATACTTATCAGTTAAAAACGAGTAGATTGCGCAAGGTCGAAGAATTTTTATTTGTGCATAATTGATAAAAATAGAGCGTCGCCAAACACTCTCCGGCGTCTTACATGTTCTAAATCTTCAATCCCTATAAATTTTGACCTAACATTTTTGTAAAAATTTTGATTTAACTCATTCAATATCAAACTGATACTAATGAAATTTCAATAAAGTATACGAGAGTTAATAAAGTTTCTTTCGATATATTTTTTATAAAAACCCAATCCATAAATTTAAGTATAAAAAGGGTTCGTTAAAAGATAAGAATGTCAAATGTTTTTTCAACTAAATTTCTAAAAAATTTTGACCTATGCCAAATTAAAACTTTTAAAGTATAAATTAATAAAATTTCTTTGAAATAAAATAATATTATACAACTTGATATTATTAATCCAAAAGTAAAACAATTATTAAAAAAATTTTTTTTTTTTTTTAATAACCCTTTTTTGTTATGGTTTTCATCCAGCTATAATTAGATCAATAGTTATAAGATTTATCAAAACATGCTGGACCACTCTGAATTTTATAAAAATTGATGAAATTTATAAAATAAGTTAAAATAGTTCGAAAGCAATTTTATATTTTACGTCATTGTATACATAATTTCTAAAATTTGACATTAACTGATTAATATTTGCAGTGATAAAACTTCTATTTATCGTTTAACATTACAAATCTCGATCAATATTTACACAATAAAAATTGGCAACAGGCGTTGACGTCATCATTTTTGTTTTTCCAACCGTGTTGGAAAAACACTTCGTTTTACAAGTAAAATATGTAAAATATTTTTAAAGATTTCTGAGCTTAAACAGCTATAGATCATAATATTTTTAACACTATTTATTAAAAAAATTTTTGTGTTGTATGCGTAAAAAACCTTCCAACACATGTATGTGAAAATTNCTTTTTTTTGTGTTGTATGCGTAAAAAACTTCCAACACATGTATGTGAAAATTTGGACATTTTTTTTTTAATTTATTCGAAAAACTCTCTAAATATAAAACGATAAATAGTTAATTTGCTAATATTACAGTGTTGACCAAAAATTCGTTAACGCTTTAGTAATACTAATAATAAATTTTTACATGTCTAAAATAAAATATTATTTCGTTCTTCTCTCAAATTAGTTATTATATACTTAAATCTTTAGCCGTTTAAAGTATAAATCGAACACTTGACCAAATAGTGATGCGGCCATATATATGAAAAAGTGTCCTTATAAAGCTTTAATTTTTATGGGTTAAATGTTGTTAGACATTTCGGAACATTTCCAAAATTGAGATAAAAAATAAATTTACAAGCGTAGGTAAACTCTTTCAAACCCTTTCCAATTTCATAGTGAATTTACATAAAAAAATGATTATATTAAATTATTGTTATGTTATATTAAATGATTATTAATCTATGAATTAAAAAGTTATAGTNCATATTAAATGATTAAATTATTTTATATTAAATGATTATTAATCTATGAATTAAAAAGTTATAGTAATTTTAAAATACAGAAAAAAATGTTTGCAAATAATATTTCTTTCAATTTTTATAGCACTGACTGTTTCAACTAGATTAAATTCAAGTTCTTTTTATGTAAAGATCATTAAAATAACCCTTCATAGTTAAACCAATGCCTAATTTCGTAAAAAAGCTAAAAAAAACATTATAAAAAAATTAATTACCTAAAATTAAACGTTTTAAAGCATTAGAATTCTGTGATTATTTTATATTTTCTGAAATATTTGTTTTCAAAAGCAATGCATTATAAAATTTTAAACAATCTATGGTTTAATACGCTTTAATTCAATAAAATGATAACAAAAACCTGTTAGATATTAAAAATAAAATGTATTAAATATAAAAATGAAATGAGGTTATATCAAAAAATATTTAATGTAAAAATAGAGTAGTTATTATATATAAAAATGTTTAATTAAAAAAATTAATCAACGTTTATTAACTACACAATAAAAATTTGTAAACATTGAATAACAAATACGATAATTTCAAACTTCAGATACGGAATAATTAATATTAGTTATCAATCTATATCATAGACGAAATATATGATACAGATTATAATATTAATTGGCCTTTGACATATATATATTCAATAAAAAAAACTTATTTTATACTTAGGTATTTATATTACAATACAGTTNAATACGATAATTTCAAACTTCAGATACAGAATAATTAATATTAGTTATCAATCTATATCATAGACGAAATATATGATACAGAATATAATATTAATTGGCCTTTGACATATATATATTCAATAAAAAAACTTATTTTCTACTTAGGTATTTATATTACAATCCAGTTGTATCATTTGTTATTTTCTATTATTAATGCAACATATAGTTTCCATTCCATACAGCTGGGTAATTAATAATAATTATAATTATTGAACCAACGTATTTTTTTTCTTTGTGTCCTGTGGTATTCACAATTTTTTTTTTTCTAGTATATTTTACCTAGTCATTTTGAACTTCAAAAACTAATAATGCGATTAATATCTAATTAAAGTAGACAGCGAATTCTATCATATCGTAAAAACTTCGAAAGTATTCTAAATAAACAAAAAATAACTTTGCATAGTTAAATAAAAATAGTCAACGCTATTGACTAATTTATAAAATTGTCTTAGAGCATTTAAATTAATATTATTTATCAAATAATATATATTTTAATGTGGAGTAAGAACCGCATTTGAAAAATCTACAAAATAAGTTAATAAATTTAGATTTAAAAAAAAATACAAGTATAAACTTTTCTTACGGGTATCAATTATAATTGTTTAACCCAATCGAATGGTATTTTTCTCAAATGAAATTGTTGCTGCATTGTAATGGAGCAATAACAATAATCAAAGTACTGAACGATAAGAGCGAGGACTGTTAATCGGCAAAATTACCCTAAAACCACATTGCAATAACACCAGTTATTATTTGTGTAGGTTTGTTGTGTTGTTGGGTGTTATCAGTACATGTTCGAACGCGGTGGTGAAGGACGGGCGAGGCGCCGGGTCACGAAATAAGATCTGAAGATGTTATCGTATTGGCCTTAGGCTGTTGCTAGCGGTGTGTGCGTTGTGGTGGGGATGTAAACCATGAGGTGGAAACGAGTGTCGGCTTTGGCCGTGGTTGCCGGTTGCCGGTCGGGTCAGTAGCCCGTGCCGGTATTCGGTCGGCGCTGTGGTATTCGCGCAACCGGACACACATACAATAATGTTATCCACGCACACACAACATAATCTCGGTTAACCTTGGTGCCAGCCGTACAGCGACTCAGTGTGCGCGTGTACGGACAGCGCGCTGTCCATGTTGCGTCGGTTGCGGTCGAGATAACTTTTCCGTCGTCATTGTCGTGTCTCATTTTCTAGTTTTTCGCGATTTCGTTAAGGTTACTTCGTTGAGAATTCATATGTTTTCGGACCGAGAAACGGGCAGTCGCAGTATTTTTTTGCTGACTGTCTGCCTGTCGGCCGTACGATCACCGGCCGCCGCACTGGCGGCCGGTGATCCTTTCGCAGGACTTTTCCTTGCCGGCAACAGGTACGTCTATGGCCTCAGCAACACCCTGCTGTTGGACGAATCCTATCACGAGTACGACAGAGGCATTCCCATTGGACACCGGATTACGGCCCAAGTTCAGGTGGACGTCGTTTGGCACCGTCCGGAACACGGACAGCTTCTATGTTTAAAAGCCAACGAGCCGCTGCTCCAGACGCATTCGAAACGTTTAAAATTTATTGACCGCGCCAAATCTAAACTAGTAGACTTCAACAACAGCCCGTTTTGCATTCAATGGAAAAACGGGCGGATTGAGAGCGTGTACGTCACACAAGACACAACAGCCGAAAAAAACTTTAAAAAAGGAATAGCCAATCTATTTCAGGTATAATACAGTAATCATTTTCACAACAGTTTAATTGTCGGCTAATTATTATAATTCGTACGTTCCGTTCGATAGTTTCAACTTTTTAGTGCGGACGTTGTAGAAGACTCTACTTTGGGACGATGCAACGTTACTTACAGTAAAATAACGGAAAATACTATTTTGAAACGTATCAACAGGTGTAGCGCTGCGTCCAAACGTTTGATCGAAACACGACATCCGGAAAAAGTAAGCATTGAAAAAACGTCAGTTAACACAAAACATTTTAAATAAATGTATCGAATCAAATAGATTTTACAAGGTATTTTGCGTTCAAAACGTCAAGGTCTAGTCAAATTTAGTAACAAAACGGTGACGGAAATTACGTTCGAAGAAGATCACGAATTTTATACAGAATTACTTCACGAAACGGGAGCATCAGTCGTTTCAAAACAAATTCTTAAATTAAATGGTAAAGTTTTGCAGTTTTTATTCAATATTCTAATTATTATTTCTTTTATATATAACAATTAGTTATAGATTACAGTTATTTTAAATATCTCCCCCATATATTTATTTGGTATTTACATATTAAAAAGATGTCGTTTTAATTTCAAAACTTTGGTTAAAGAAGATTTGACGAAAAAAAATAAATAATAGATTCATTTTGTCCTAACAGTTAAAGGTGTAATTTAATTTCTTAAAATCTACGTGGAATTATGTATGATTATTAGTTACAATAATTCAGTGGCATACATAGTTATTGAATAGTCAAAACAAATACTTAATTTATGAATAAAATTACAAAACGGTACATGACGAATTAAAATTTACTAATAATTAGTTAAAACTTAAACATTTACACCCATAATTCAAATTTTATGTTATGTACTAAACTCGATGATAATTATCCAATATTATTCTCGGTGAATATTTTTTACTATTTCGGTGACATACTTATTTGTCGAGTAAAGTAAACTAAATAATATTAATAAGATTTCGTTTTACGAATTGACTTATAACCTCAACATTTAATGTCTATAAATTTTAATTTAATTACCTATTATTTACCAATTTTGAATACAATAAAAGAGCGAAATAGTACAAAGGTCAATTGTTTGTATAGAATAAAATTAAAAATAGCCAGAGATAACGACTAGATTTTTATTAATAAAAAACGTAATTATATTAATTACACTATGATCTTTTATTGTAAAATATTGAAGGCATATTAAACAAATTTAAACACGAAAAAAATTAAAACTTTTTAAAATACTGGTTATTTTGAACCGATCAAAAATTAGAATGTAACTGTGAAAAATCGAGCAGCCACTTATAAAAGGCGACTAATGATGTCTAAATTAAATAAATTTTAATTAAGGTACTTTGATTTTCTAAAGCTTTATTAAATTAACAACTTGTAACTAAAAATTACAAAGTTCCTTCGGACTAATTCCTTGAAAATATGTAGTGTATTTTTAATTTAATTTTAATTGTTTAGGAAATGATGCTAAAATAGAGACTGTAAAAGCTGATTCTTTGAGTGATGCTATCAAAATTATAGAAAAACAACTGAAACAGAGATTTGTCAAAGAACAGTTGACCATTAATCACGAGGTGAAGAATTGTAAATACCATTCAAAATGTCCAAAAGTAAGCGACAAATAAAAATAATATACAGAAATACTAACTTTTTTCAATATAAGTTAAAGGATGTCGTAAAAAAGTATCACGACGACTTGATAGATACCGAGTTAGGTATGTCGAAATCGGCTTTTGCCGCTATCAAAGTAATCGATGCCCTACGAAACAGCAATACTGACGCTATTGTTAGAGTATTAAAAGATAAAGAAAACGAAGATATAGAGTGAGTAAATAATTTTTATTTTTTGTCCCACAGACTTAAAGCATTAGTGGTTTTTATAAACTATTGTTGATTAAAATTATTACAAAATTTAGATTTCAATTGTACGATTTGCTAGGATCGGCTTTAACCGAAGATTCGCATAAAGCGGCGATGGACACATTAAATTTTTCTAAGGAGGATGACTATGACAAAGCAGAAAGGTATTTGTGGAGTGCATCGGTTAAGTTCAATCCAAACATTAATATTATTCAAAGTAGACTTATGATGAAAATAAATAAACGATATAAAACGTCATGTTTTAACTTAAACAAATTTTAGGTCTTAGAAAATTATCTCAAAAAAAGTTGGCCAATAAGAAACTAGAAGATACCGTTTACAATACAGTCACAGCCATGATAAGTCGTTTGACAAAATATGAAACATCTACGTCTAACTTAAAAGTTAACAACAATAAAATTCTGTTAACTATTTTGTTACAATGTTATATTTGACCACGTGGTATTTTTTTTAGCTTTTTGATGAGATCTTACAAGAAACATTGGCAAAATTGACCAAGTGCAATGATGTTGATGACGACGAATGTCGTTTAGTATATATAAGAGCTTTAACTAATCTTCAACATCCCAAGTCCATTGAAGTGTTGTTAGATATTGCCCAAAATGGAAACAGAAAGTTATTAACTTATAAGCTGTTTTACTAAAATTCATCTGTAAAAGTTTAATATTTTAATTATTTTTTAGATCTAGCACAAGCGCCATAAAAGCTATTAAGATTTTTGGGCCTTCATTTTGGGATGGCAGAGTACTTAAAGCTTGTGATAAGATTTTCTTTCAGTTGATCAAAGAACGCGACAGCAGCGTCAGAATGATAGCACTTAGCATACTACTTGAATCTGGACCTGATTATGATCTACTGAAAAACGTCGCTAAATGGCTGTTGATTCCTGATGAAGGGTTCGAGAACAAACAATACACTGTACAACTACTAAATGAAATGGCTAACCAGTGAGATATTTTAATAAAGGTTCTTAATCATCTTAATACGCCAGAGCCGTAGCAATGAGATGCATTTTTTACAGATGCAAATATTGATATAAAAATTAATTCTGTTAACTTACTTGATAAAATATTAAATTATTCTTAGATACCTAACCGCTTATTCTCCATGTTTTCAGGAATCAAAGCGCAGCCATGTTATTCCGTGAAGTTTTAATAAATGAAAAACTCAATCACTATGGCGTTCTAGCGCAGAGAGGTCTTTCATCGTCATTTTCAAGAAAGTTCTTCAGTTATAACAACATAACCGGATTAGTTAAGTCATCTCAGCATATTTATACAGGTGTAACTAAACGTGGATCAGTCGACATCATTATGGAACATGAAAACAACCATTATCATTTATGCAACGTGAGTTATAATCGCAAAGAAGACATTAACAATTTATAAAGTTTTACTATAGAAATTATTATAAATTTCAGCTGGGAATGTTTACTACCGGGCTGGGATATTTTTCGCAACTCTACGACGATTCTCCTAATAAAAAAGAGCCCACGGAGGAAGATAATCTACCAGCTACAGCAGGTCTAGAGATTACCGTTTTCGGAGTTCATATCAGACCGTTTATGATGTTTACTAGTCAAGGCCAACTAATGGGACACGTTTGGGCAGGATCTGCTTCTGAAAGGACTCCCGTAGTACAGGTACTTCAATAAACGACAGTAATCCACAATTAAGTAATAATTTAATTAGTTAAAATTTAATCACTTAGGGAATTTATCAAATGATGGAGCATCAAGAATATCTGTCCCTTAGTTCAGGATATATAGCCGATCTAAATCTAAAAGGAACTGTTTCGTTAGATATAGCTGGTCAAATTCAAATGAGTTTATGGAACAAGAATGCACAGTCATTGATCGAACAAAAGTAAGTAATCATTCGTAATACGTTTGATTATTGCAATACAAGAAATTTTTATGCGTAACATTACAATTATGACATTTAAAATAATATTTTGTAAAAAACAATACTTATTAAAACATGAAAATATTCTTTTCAAACGTTTTATCTTGCAAAAATCTTATGTTTTTAAATTTTTACGATAGCGAGTTATATTCTGAAAACCTTATAAACGTTAAACAAAAAATTAATAACGTTTAAATGTTTAATGACGTCAAACTCAGTTTGAAGATAATCTTCCAGAACCCCCAAAATAATCTATTTAAACGTCAAACCGAGACTTTTTAATGTAACTTCCTAATATTTTGGATTTCAAATTTTGAACATTTTTTAAAAAAATATATTTTTATAGTGGTGGTATTAGCATAAACGGTGTTTTCAAATTAAACAGTGATGTGGTTTCGACCGAAGTAGAGTTCACTTTGAAGACTGAAGGATTAATGCACACGTATAGTGACGCCGAATTTGCTAAAAAAGTTGCCTTGTGTATGCAAATTGTATTGGTAGATACCAACATGACGTAAGAATTAATAAATTCAACAGTTCATCTTAATGTACTCGAATATCACCTCATAAATAATTATAATTTGATCGATTTCAGATCTATTACAGCCAAAAATGAAATCGTCTATGGTTATCCAAGGGAAATACATAAAGTTAAAACAAGAGTGCACAAGATCGCTGGACGGACATTTGCTCTCAATAAATTAGCTAATGAGTTTTGTAATGAAATCCATGCTCAATGAGAATTGTTTATATGAGCCATTTTAGTAATACAAATTTGTAGTATATTTTTTTTTTACATGTGACTGAATTTTTTTAGATATATCTTAAGTTAGACTGTGAAATAAAAATTATCATAGATTTAAACATTTTGTTTGAGACTATTGAATTATAACAATAAACAACAAATTAGTTTATATTTGAAATTAAAAAAAAAACATGTTATCAAGTGGTAAGTTATAAAATTATTTTTAAGATTTCTCGTTCACTTAAAATTAGTTATTTTTCTATAATTTTCATCATAATTTTGATTATTTAAAATTTAAAATCATAATTTTGGCCTAAGGGCAGTTAAGCTTAAATATATACCTCTAAAAGCAACTAATACGCTCTATGTATATACTAGACGACAACAAAAAAAATTGAAAGAACAAAAATTATATTTTATAGTATATTTTTCGGTTTCATTTTAGTGGGCCATTAAAAAAATAAGGGCATACATTCAAGAACGTATTCAGTGGGATCTGAGCACTGTCCACTCCAAGCTTTAACAATTAATAAATTTATCTGATTGTCATATGGTTAAAAAACTCTTTGGTTATATAACACCAAATTTGATGAAAAAATAATAATTATACATCATAACATAAAAAATGGTAAAATTCTTTATTAAAATTTTTATTTAAGCCATATTTTATATTTATTGTACATTATTAGTATGACTTATTTTTAAACTATGAATTAATTATCTGTTCATTAAACAATATTTACAGTAGATTTCATATACATGAAAACGCCAAGTTTTCTTATTCAATCAAGTTGCACATGTTTTGAATTTATTGAAATAAATTCAACAGAGTCTAAAGAAAGATGTACTGGAAGTTGAGCAGCAAACAAATGAATATTTCTTATTGTTCTTCTAATTTTCCTTTTAGTCCATCCTCCTTCAATACTGTTATCAAAAATATCACTATCTTCTTCTTCAATAAATGATTCATCTTCCATGATATCCTCTTGATGTCTATGTAATTTATTATATTCTTGACAAAGCAAAATAAATATTGATTTAATGAAGTGACATATATTCCTTTGAACAAGTTCACATTGTCTAGTACAATTAAGCAAACACTGCTTAATATCAGCATTATTAAATGGGATTAGATTAGTTTCTGATGCTTTTTCCATTATAATAATAAAATGAACTTTTTTAGATTGATAAAAAAAGTTAAAAATTTGACGTAATAAATTAAATGTAGCGACAGGTCCAATAGAATTTATGGTGCAGATTTTTTTTTCATTTAATTCTTCTGCATATGCAAACACACGATCTTCATAAGAATTGTTAAATAAATTACGTTTCTCACCATTATCAACATTGTTAGTAATATCATAGTTATAAATAGCATCACTTAATAAATTATTCATGATTCCATATGCTGCTCTATCTGATGTCAAAATATAAAGTTTAAATGCTACTTCTGGTTTATTTTTTTCTAAAGACAATTCAAGTGTTTTATCTACAACTGCTTTTATAGTATTTAGATCAAAAACATCATTTAGTATACTATCATCTTTATTCGTATCAAGACTTCCAAACATCCAATTACAAACATTACCATCATACGATGTTGCTAAATCAGCGACACACTTATGAAATAAATTGTCGTTTTTAAAAGTTTTTAAATTTCTTAAGAAATAGTAATAATATGAGGCGAAATGAGGATAATTAGATTCAAATTCTGAACAAAATAATAATATTAGTCTAGCATAGTTCAAACGAACAAATTTTTGGTCAACATTTTCATTAGTCAAAAATGGAGCTTGTAAACATTGTGAAGTTGCTAGCAAATTTTTTTCATACAAAGCAATAGCTATATGAACTGCATGATTTGAAAACTTAGCATTTCGGAACAAAAAATCTATAGCACTTTCAAATTGTCCAATTAAAAATAAAAGCTCAAAATAAACATGAGGTTGTTCCATGTAAGGCTTACCATGGTCTAAAACATAACGCTGTAATGAACAATAGTCTAATCCATTAGAATCTTCCATATATTTACTCGCAAAGTGTTCAGTTAATAACATCCACAATTTATCTTCAATTGTTTTAGCTACTGCTTTTTTTTCTACGTTAGCTTCCACCATGCCTAATAATGAAAATATAGTTTTTCTAAATGCATTATCATAAACTGGTAGTGTTTTATAAAATTTATTCAATGTAACACCAACATTAGAACCTATTCTCTCAGTGAAATCAGCTTCTTTTAAATGAACAAAAACATTCAGAAGATCATTTAAGGCTAGACCTGATTTTTTAATAAAATAATAGGCAACATCTATTTTACCACACCTAATACTATAATAAAGTAATGGCCAAATAGTTTGTTCATCAACATGAAATTCAATTTGTTGATTAGCAACACGTCCTGTTTTCATAAACACATGATTACTTATTATAGAAGCAGTATACTCATTATCATTGGTAATATTTAAATGTTTTGTTTCTTTGACAAGGTAAGCCCAGTACTTATCTTCGAGGTAATTTTTTGCATTTTTAACAAGATTTCTTTGATTTTCTTCTGAAAATCGTTCTTTATAGGTTCCTATTGAATTTTCAAATGGATTTATATGGTACATATATTTAATAACATTCCATATATGAGCAATAGGAGCATCACCATTTTCACAAGATATAGTTTCCAAAAAAGATTCAATTAATTCTTTATCTATAGTATAATTTGTCTCTTTAGCTTTAATGTAATTTTTAACATCACTTATAAAAGGAAACATTTCAGACACTTCATTGTTATCAGAATTAATTGTGAAACAATGTTTTTTTTCTAAAAGTAAATTTTGTAGACAAAATAGCACATCATATGAATCCAGTGCAAACTCATTGTAGGCAATATCTTTTTTTATTTTTTGCCAATTTGAAGAAATATTTTGTAAACTTTTAACAATATCATTATTTTCTTTAATTTCTAAAACTTTAATGTAATCCTCAATATGCCTTCCCATTAATGATTCTACACTACTAGAATAATCCATGATTGGCTTTGGATCTCCTGAAGTGGTAACATTATCACGGTATGTACACAATTTTTTTAGAACACTAGAGTAGGAAGCAAGATCCAAACCACGATTAGCCAAAAACTCTTTAGCATACTGTTCGTCATTGTTTCCCAAAGGCCGTTTTAAAGTGTAATCTGCATTTCTACATAACTGACGTAATGACTTATGAATTTTAGACACTGGCTTTGTTCCATTACTATCCTTACATAATTTCTGACCTTGTAATAAGAGATCTTCTAGGTCTGTAGCTGGCATGGTTATCTACTGGAAATAATGTAAAAAATTATTATTGCAAAATTATTGGAATTTAAACAGATAAGATACATAATATACATTTTTTAATCTATAAAATCTCCTAATTATTCCGAGAAAAGCAGTTTGATACAATATTAACAATTGAATCAGTAATTATTGAATCCTAAAATACATAAAAAAAACAAAATAGTATCATTTTTCTTTGTAATCGTACATGAAATAATTACTTTTGGAAAAGTTTACTATTATAAGGTATTAAAAGCTTATCCATTGAATTTTTGAAAATTTAAAATATTAAATTGTTTAAATAACGAAAAATAATATATATTTATATATATATGATCATTTTGAACATGGTAATTAAATAATTGCTTAAGATAAACAAACCTGATTTATTTAATTGATACTATAAGAAAAAATCTAGTATAATACAAAATTTCAAAATGTATAAATGATGGTCAGTTTACTACGCCACATAGAATTGGTCACTTTTTTGAAAATAAAATAAATAAATAATGATGAATTTTTCAAAAAATAAAATCGGTTTCTTGATAATAACATACTTCAAATAATATTTAATCAAAATTGATAAGAAATCTGTTAATACTGCATTACTACTAATCACGAATTAATTTATGTTTTACTAATAATTAATAGTGTTACCAATGTTATGTCTGTTTTTTATCAATGAGACAACAATAAAAATGTTATTACTTTTTCTGCAAGATAACAATTTATTATAAGTTTCAAAATTAGTGGAATTTAACATAAAGAATTTGATATATTTATATATTAAAAATCGACAATAGTGTATAAGAATTATGAAGTTGTAATCAAGTAAATAATATTGTAATTCATTTACATTTAAATTCCTATATTAAGATCCAATACGATTGTTAAAAACTCATTTTATTGAATATTTGTTAAATTCAAGTGAATTATTAATACCGCAGATAAGATTATTTAAGGTAGTATTGCAGCATTAAAATTTCTATTTTATGTAATGTATGTACTATACATACCCAAAAACATTAGATATATAAAATATATAATTCTTATATTTATCAACAATAAGACTGCAAACGGTTAAACAATATATTTTTCTTGTACACAACATAATGAAAATCAAAGAAATATATTTATATCTAAGGGTGCACACAAAAATTTTCCTTTGAAATAGGCAAAATATCTTTTTAATATTTGGTTTCATTATTTGCTCAACAAACATGAAACCACAATATTTTGGAGGCTTCACCATAGGAGCAAAGCCAATTCAGTTACAAATTAGCTCTCCAAAAAATTGTATATTTACATGTATAGTGTGTTTTAGGCTAAAGAGAAAATACAATTAGCATCCTCTGAAAGTTATTCTAATAGACGCCTTTGGACTTCAGAAAAAAAATTGTAAACAAATTTAATAATTTAATGTATTATTAATGCTCTTAATCCAGGTATTCTTTTTACAATTTAATAAAAATAAAATTATTTTGTCTTTTAATAAAAAAGAAAAATTTCAAGACTTTATTATTGGATCAATTATGAAAATTGACCAAGCCAAAAATTATTTTGCTATAATTTTATCTTCCCTATAATAAGTAAAGTTTAATTTATGAAAATATTAATTCATTCATTTTCTTATGTGATGTCATGCTATCAAAACATGAATCTGTAACTGATTTTCCAATTGTGAGAAAAAATGTTCTTTCAAAAAATTATATTTTTAATGTAACTTTTCATGCACTACTTACAATCCTATTTATAACAAAACAAATCTAAAAAAATGTTGACAACATAGTAGGGTTATAAGATTATATCAGTGGGGGGTACAAATTTTAAATAGACATTTTAGTTTTTTCTCATTTTATTACTAACTAAAATGAAAAAAAAATTTATAATTCATAACAAAAATGTTAACACAATGGTATCAGTCATTTATATATAAAAAAAAAATGCACCTTAATTCTATAAGGTCATAATATGAACTCATAAATAAAATAAAATATTTTGAAATATGAATTATATAAAATAAAGTTTCTATATCCATCAAAAGACATTTTATCCTAGTCTGTAACAGCAGTGCCTGATGCTCACTATAAAGAATTCAAATCTCTGTAGCTTTACTTGCTTAGCTAGATCAGCTCATTTGGAATCACTATACCTTTCTTCAGAGAAAAACAAACTACCTGTCTCAGATTAAATAAGGTTCTTCTGTGGTGCGCACTGATTTTTAATCAAGGGTAATACCAGAATAATTTTTTGAAGCATTTTTTTATTAATCAATATTTTCTATATGATATTTTACCAAAATAAACCTATTTTAGGTTTATTACTATTGATGATCAGAAGTGCATTGCGTTGAAGCCTTAGTTGTCAAAAGAAGATATAGTATTTTATAACTATATTGACTATTTACATTTATCATTTGTATAAAATAAAAATTAAGTAAAAACATTATAAATTATACTAATAGTGAACAATAAAATTAAATTATAAATATCATAAATTATTTTGGTAAATACATCAGTCTTAATTTTTATTGGTAAGAGTCTTTAATAGGTCTAATAGAAGCGACAGATAAATAGATGTGTAATAAAAAGGAATGATAATTAATGAATATTAAATGAGCAAGTTTTTAAAAATGTTGAATATTATAAACTATTTTTGATAATTGTATTAACTTGATAGTCCATGGATTGTTAGAGTAAATAAATTTATAAAAATGTAGATATGAAATTATATTAATATTTTTAAGATTACTTAATGTCAACTTGCCTATTCATTTTAATTAAAACTTCATCCCCCTATTATTACCACCCTTTTTGATTTTTTTAAAATATGCCTTCTAATTATTTAAAAAATTAAGTTAGAAATAATAAAATGTTTCTAACTTATTTCATTAATATTTTCTATTGTTTGTTCTTGTTCTGTAGACATTGAATCATTATCAACTTGCAAGTCTGCAGGGTTATTAAATTCTTGATAGGTATTACCCCTGGAATATAAAATAATGAAATTATAACATAAAAATCATTTGACAGTTAATTATAGTCATAATAAATTAATCAGTATCTTAAGATCAGATAAATTAATGAATAAAATTTCTACATACAAGTGCACTAACTATTCATATATTGTTAAAAAGGATTGGCTGTTAGAGCATAAAAATAAAAATAAAACAACTCAAAATTAATTTTCTATTAACTCACAAATCTCACATACAATTTATACATTCATAATTAAGATAAATATTAAATATAGGATAACAACAAAAATTAAAATTAAAAATACATTAAATAATCAATAATACACATACATAATATGTGTTACACATCTACATACTTTTTAAAATTAATTAAATAATAACAAATGTCACAGAATTGTTACAAAAAGGTATAGTAAAACATTATGGTAACTTCAAAAAAATTTTAGGTACAACCCTTGAGATCATAAACTTTTGAGCTTCTGTGGCTGAAAATGTTAAAATATAAAACTTTTTATTGGGGTGTATATTATATTTACAGTTATACCAGCATATTCTATTAATTCGAGTATATGCAAGAAATTTCTATTGCTGATTGATAATAGCCTTTTTCTTAAAAAGCAGTTGATAGCTACGATAGAGTAAACATGCAATTAAGCTGTGACATGCAATAACTGACCAAATAAATTTACTTCTTACCTGTAGAATACATAATGTTGCAGGAAGAATAAAATATCAAAAAATACAGATAAAAGGCCGAGACCAAATTTCGTTGGATCTCCAAATATTGAAGCCCAGTCATCTGAAATGATAAATTAGTTACAACAAAAATTAAAATACATATATTAGACAATTACTATAATTATATGCATTTATAATCATTTGCATAATACTGAGAGTTCCTCCAGTAAAATCTAAAAATATGTTACCAATACTCCAACCAATAGTGCTTTGTCTTTTGTAATTCATTATAGCCTGAAAGAATACATATATTTTTAAACAAATTTGTTATTAAAAAAATAAGTTTTAGGAAAGTAATGAAAAATATATATTGAGTTTTATGAAAAGGTCTTTTTTTTACATTATTGCATGGTATGAATCAATAAATATTTATACAATATATGAAACAAATTATTTTTAATACATATATTAATTTCTTACTTGTGGAATGTATTTTATAAGAGTAATTGACAACTTGATATAAGAGCAATAGTAAAGAAAATCTAACCAGGTAATTTTCTGCAAGTAAATAACTATTGATAGTCCAATTATAACTATACTATAAAAGAACATAATTAATTTTGCAGTATAGGAAACTTGTTGACTGCCTCTCTAAATAAAATGAACCAGAATTATTAATATAATAGTTTGTTAGATTACTTCACTAGTTTACTATTGAAAAATTAATACCAAAATAAAAAAATTTACTTAAAAAACATGATAATATAATTTCATGCCCAATAATATTTTATTGGATTCAAAAAAAATTTAAATAGTAAACTAGCTGATTATATCTTAACAATAAATTTTTTAAGTTAGAACTATTATTTAAATAATTTCAAATTTTTATACCATAGACATTAATGACAATTATACTCATTACATGAATTATAAGATGAGATAAAACCAAAACAAAAACTATTGATGCCGTAAACTCAAATACAAGCAATAAATAATACAAAAATAATTTATTATAAAAAAAATCATCATTAAAAAGCAGATTTTTAGGTTTTTAAAAATTTTAAAACATGTCTCATACTTTAAACTTTTAAAATATTACCTTAAAAATTAATAAAATATATTCAAAAATTTAAAAATATTCAAATGTTTTTTTCAAAATATATTTTTAAGTTCAAATTATTTAATTAAATGTTAACATATTTTAAATCATGTTTGCCTGTATAGAAGTTACTAAAATTTTTATATCTTAGCGGTGGAAGAGTAAAGACAAGAAATATCTAATGATAAAAATAATGGCTTTAAACTGTTAATAATTTTTTTAACACTGTTCCAAAAGTTGTTATAGACCATTTTTCTTATTTTAGATATTACCTAATAATTAAACTAGTTAATTGTGTATATTTTCATTTAAGAAATAATATTAATACCCTTTAAGACATAAGGGATGAAAATAAATAATATTTAATATTGAATAGAGATACTTATATGATTAACAAAAGCAAAAAAATAAATTTACAAAAAATAATTTATTTAAGAGAAATTAAGTATCTAGTATAAAAAAAAATCACTCTGTATGTGATTTATAATCAAATTTTTACTAATTTTTTTATTAAATCTGGTTCAAATACTCGGTTATTGAATGTTATCATTAAGTTTAGAAAAACTAAGTCTCTTTGCAGCAAAAATATTCAAATTTGAGTAATAATTTTATAATATAAATTATTTTTAAAACAATAACAAAATAATAGGGTAAATGTTTTCACACCAAAATAATGAGAAGAAAAAGAAAAGAATGCAATAAAATTTTTTTCTTAACTTAATGATTAAAAAATCTTTGACAAATTTTAACTCTTGTTAATCTGTATAATATCATTATAAATGTATAAAAACATAAAAATCCGTTAAAATTGTAATTATAACATTCATAGAAAAAAAATAATTTTTAGTCTTTCAAATTACAATAGTTATGAAAATCAACAAATTAGTATTTTTCAAACCTCATAGCAAAAACATTGAATCACAGTAACTAAAGTGGCAAATACAGCATGAACAGAAAAAAATATATCATTTAATTGAACAGGGTTATGACCTCGAGGATTTCTTTCTAAATATTCATTCTATAAAAATAAAAGTATTAAAAATTTAGAGCAGTAACAAAGAAAAAAATTACAATATTTACATCAACTTCCGGTATCCACAATCCTATGTTGAACATAGAATAAAGAATAAATCCAATCAAGTTCAGTGATATAAAATCAAAATTCAAACCAACAACGCTAAAAAATTAAAAATTAAAACAGTACTATTGACATTATTATAAACTCCACTATTACCTTTTTCTAGTCCAATTTTCATATATTTGAGGATAAAAGGATATAGACCAAGCAGTAAAATAAATCCAACCCACAATAACACTAATCAATGCAAATTCTTTGGAATGCTGTACTGTTACTCTCACAAAAGCATCATTAGTGCTGAAAAATAATAACAATTAGTTAATTTTTTTTTTTAAAGTTTTAATTTGTTTTACAATAATTAAACAATTGTTTAATTTTTACTGAATAATTAACAAAAAAATTAACCTTTTCCACTTTAAACAAAAACAATACTTCATAATAAAAGTATTATAGATTATATATCATATATTCTTATTATAGATATATCATATCTATTGCGATTGATTATGATAAACAATATCATAGTATAATAATTATTTAATCTAAATAACTAAATAAATGTTTTTAGATTATGTTAATCTAAAATTAAAAATAAAATAAAATTTATTATATAATATTATTTAGATTATATAACTTGCATTAATAGAAATAAAAAAAACTCTATAGTTTAATCAGTGGTGCAACTAGTGGAAAGTAGAGTTCTCAAATTAATTCAAGGTTTTTAAATTTTGACTTGAATCTATGAAGGACTCTGTGCAAAACCAACTTTTTTTTTAACCAGATTTTTTTTTTATTTTTCATTAAGATAAAAATGATAAATACACTGTGTAAAATAAATATACTTATAATAAATAATATTAAAAATGTTAAGAATACATGTTAAAAGTTTATAGTTATTTTAGATTTCAGAAAATTTATTTAAAATTGGAGTTTTGTTAAATTTGCAACGCAAAAATAAGTTGCATTTAATTTTTGATGTCTGTCACTTCTTGTGCTTTACTCCTACTGAACTGACTCAACTATGAGTCAAAATAATCTGAAACACATCTAGTTAAATACATTATACTCAAAAAATTAAAAAAAAAACCTTCAATTTGTTTTATAAACAAAAATATCTAAAAATTTGATACAATAAAGACTGTGAATTTTTTTTGATTATATATTCAAAATTTAAAACTTATGTATCTTTTTGTAGAAAAATTAGCTTTAATTCAAATTTTTATGGGTAATATTTTAGTACCAGAATAACTTGAACATATTAAAAAATTGGTAATCAATTCTACGTCCTTCTAACTTATAATTAAATCTTTTAAAATGTACTTTATGATTAAAAATAAAAAAATTGTAAAAAGGTCATTTTATAAAAAAATTAGTTTCATTAATTTTTAAAAATATTTCAAAAAATTAGGATGAATATGACAAGATAGATTTTTGCATCAAAATTTTATATTCATTATTGTCAGTTATCAATCTATTATCTTGTTCTAACAATGCAGGTCCCCACTATGCTACAAACCAAATGATGTGTTTTCTGTTATAATATCAAAATTTAAAGAAATATTTGCTTGGTAGCATCTTATAGTTTAGTTGCACTACTGAGTTTAGTGTAATATAATCAAATTTATTCACTTATTAATGCATTTTTTACTATTAAGGCCATCTTAATTAATTGATTAATAATTTTTTAAATTATCATAGCAAAGTTAGAATAAAAAATAATAAAAATAGTATAAATTACTTTATATTTTTAGAAAATGATTCTACTGTAAGTTCATCATGACCAGCATTATGTGCAAATAATTCAATGGCCCATTTTTGATAGTTTGATGAATTTTTCACTATCAGACCACTTGCATTAGTTGTTAATATATCAGGATGGTTTGTACTTAATGTTAACAAAGCATCTTCCGGAGCGTCTTCACTAAATAATATGAAAATAAATATTTTAACTGCAGTTCTTTTATCAATTTAATAGAAATGAAAACAATAGAGAACTCAAGTTTTAAGAACAAAATATTAACTTTTTTTATTCCTCAATAAACATTTACTTGAAAAAAACTAATCATAGATTATTTTCATTTCAAAATATTTTGGTAAACATTTAAACTGACTTCATAATAGCTTTACTTAAGTGCAATATATATATATTTGTTGTACAAAAAAATTCCTAATAAAATAAAATTCTATAAATAACATTAAAGGAAAACAAATTGATCAGTTTTATTTACTAATAAGTTTCAAAATAAATAATATGTATGAAAATTTTAAAATCACTGTAAAAAATCAATCATCCATATTCTATGACATAAATTTTAGAGTATTTTATTCATTGGATGTAAAACTACACATAAAGATATAAGTATAGTTATTTTAAAGATTTTACCAAACACATTAAGCTATTAATGAAATTAATAAAAAAAATAAATATCTTCATGTATTCTTTTAGATATCTACTTACATAAAATATAATGTAAGTTTAGCTGTTTCATTGACCAATAGAGTAAGATCTTTGGTATTAAAATATAAATTTGCATGTATTTGTGATACTCCAACTAAAAAAAAATAGTAATAAACAATGAATTCTTAAATAATTCAAATAAGTTATAGCCACTTAACATCAGTTCATCTACTTACATAATATTAAAAAACTAATACTTTGCACAATGGTCTTCATACTGTCCTAATTTGACAACTGTATATCTAATGTTGAGTATCTAGAAATAACAAAGCAAATAATGCTGTTTTTAATTTTTACATAAATGTTAAAACATAAATCTACAGATGACACTAAATTAATAAAAAATGACAATGATTTACACAAGTGTTACTTACTAACAATTTAAATTATCGAAAATACATAATTAATTACCATTGGATCATATTAGTAAATATATGATATTGTATAGTCATTATATTGACAGTTTTCAAAGAATACTGATTTTAAATGTCATATGCAACTATTTGTTTGAGTTATCTTCTTGTGAAAATAAAAAATCATCAAAAAGAATACTTTACTGATACAAAACTGCATAATACTATTTCAATTAGACAACAAAAATCAATAAATTCCAATTATCTCTTTACAGTTTAATAACACATAATTAATTTATAATTTAATATCAATAAAAATTACTAAAGTTTAAATTTTTATGAACAACTATTATTTTCAAATTATTATCAATATACTTATCAGATAAATTGAATATGAGATAACAAAATGCTAACTCATGGTTGGCAATAATAAATGATTTGTAGCTTAAAGTTTTTTGTTTAACACTAGGTCATTACTAAGAATTAATTGTAAAATTATTAATTACTGCAAATACTTCTCTGGAATTATACTACATTATTTATTGTTATAAGGATTATGGTATGTCAGTATTAAGTTATTCATTTGTCTATATAGAAGTATTCATGAAGTCTACCATTTCTTAGCAGGGCCAACGGAAAGGCGAAGATACCAATGCACCTGCCTAAGGTTTTCAAAGTCATAATATGCCCAAATAAAAAACAAAGAAGACCTCATTAATTAAAATAAAATGTAAAAAGGGCTCTGCTAAAACGTTTTTGCATTGGGTCCCACAATATCCAACGCCAGCACTGTCTCTTATTATACCTTAGTTAAAATTTTCTAAGATATTTAAGATCAAAAATAAAATATTTACTATACGCCAATAACCTATGATTATTTTCAAATTACTTTTATTTTTAAGAGATTGTCGTACACAAACTAATAAATCAATAGCGGATTTTCAACATTATTCTGGGGGGGGCCTAAAGAATTATATTATTTTGGAATACGTATTTGTGTCTTAACCTACATATTAAATAATGTAAGAATTTTTGTGTCTAGGAAACATCATAGGATCCCCCCTGTAAGTCCTCCACTGTTGTAAAATGTATTTTACACAATAACCGCAAGTTATAACATAATTGCAGTGAGTAATTAAAAATTAAATTTTATAAAATTGCTTAATAAAGTTTATAAGGATCAAAAAATAAATCTTCAATTCAATAATGGTCTCAACATTGAGAAAAATTTTGAAGGAAGTGGTTATAACCCTTAACCTTCATGATTGCTCTAGTACTTCAGTGTTTCACCAATAGACAAACATTATATTTATAACTAGGTGTGATTAATAAATAAACTATCATATTCTTTAATAAATTATAAAGGAACTTTAATTAAATATAATTTTAAAACAATAGAATTTCCAAAACACTGTCAAAAATCCGACTTGTATACAAAGGCGCGCATTAAAACATTTGGTGACCCCTGGCCTATTTATTTTTTTAGGCGCCCCTTGAGTAAAAAAAAAGTTATACTTAGTAAAATCACGACCACGGTACATATTTTTTCAATTATGAGTAAAACATAACAATTGCAATTTTTAAGTGACAACGCTTTACTTAATATCAAGATATCATTGCATTTCGTAAAATTTGCCGACGGTGGCTAATTTTTATGCTACCCCAGTGCGGATCAGCTTATATAGAACCGCATACAATCTCAATTTTGAATTTTTTTTCTATAATTTTAAAAGTTATTTAAATAAGACCAAGGTACAACACTCTCTTCTAATTTTCACGATTCAACTAAAAGGGTCAGAAGAGCTAATCCCTTTCAAGAATAAGCTATTAAAAATTTAACAAAATCTAGTATCTTTTTTTTTAAAAAAAGTTAATTTTAGTTGCTATTAGAGAAATATTTTAAGATTGATAAAAAATGTTTAAGCATTTTCTAACTATTTTTTTATTAGGAACTGAGTATTTATAAATATGGACTAAAAAATTTCCTTATAAAATTAATTAATGAAAGTATAAACGCTAAAAAACATGCATAGGTTTAAGCGATTACATAAATTGAACATGTTTTTTAACGTTGATACTTTTAGGAGATAATTTTACAAATAAGTTTTTACAGAAAACAGTTATAAGTATTTTAGTCCCAACACCCTTTAGTTGCATTTGAGATAACTACATAAGGTGAAATAGGTGTACACAACTATGTCAGATTTTAAAAGATTGACAAAATGCAAACAAATGTTATAGACAGGTCCAATCTTCATAAAACGGCCTTATGAATTCCAGATAACTCAAAAAATGTTTGTAAATCTCTTTTAACCGTAGATTTCAAATTACAATTAAAAACGAAAATTTTGCCTATTTTGTAAATAAACTTTGAAGACTGATTATTGTCTACGCATAAAAATGAATTGGCCTCAACAGCTATTGAGTATGTTAGACTAATTCAATAAATTTTTAAGCAAACGCACTACTAAAATATGTATACTCGTAGTATAATTTAATGAATGCGCGCGCAAAAAAATGTAAAATGTATTCTAGTTGTTTTTATTTAAAAATAATTAAAAAAGTACATAGACAACAATTATGGCAAGCTTTTTTTCGCGTAACTGAGAAATTTAGTTATATGCATAATTATATACTTATGTATTAATTTATAAATATATAAAAACTATTGACGAATTAATGAGAATTTTAATTATGTATCCGGTAACCTTGATTTGTATGGTTAATTCCAAACATTAATGTACTTAGATACAAGAGCTAATGAAAATAACTCAGTGATTACTTTAATTGTATATAATAGGTGTCTAAATTTGAAAAATGTATGATGTAGTGCAAAGATGATAAAAAGACATTTTATTATTAATATACAATTTATACGTATTACGTATAAAATTAAAATTTAAATAACGTCCTTGCAATGATTATTTTAACCATTTTGAGGACATGTCCTCTTCGTCCGAATCCGAGTATGGGTATTTCCTTCTCAAAATTGTACGCTAGATTATCCATAACTTGTTTGGGTAACTACTTTATTATCTTTAAATTCTTAGTGATTTAATGTCAAAAAAACTTGATAAAGACATAGTAACTTAATTATTTTATTTTTTTGGCTTTATAGTTTTTGTTTTTTAATGGACAGTCGTTTGTATTTCATTGCGTTTATCCTAGGGGTACTTGTATGGCTGCTTTTATACTTTTTGTTAATAGTCATAAACAAATATTATTCCACGAGTTAATATAGACAGGTACGGCAGGTTTAAACCTAACATTTTTTAAGTGCACTCAAATGATAGAATTTAATCAATTGTCATTGTATAGATGAATACGATTGCTCTATTTACTCGGCCAACGATTTATTCCTCGTCGTAACATAAAAAGTTCAATAGTACAATGGTATAATTACCTGATTGTTTCTTACGCTGTAAAGAGTTTGGCGGCGACACCCTCTCAGAAGATGAACAGCCTACATACGTACACAGCAATACTCTCCAAAACCAGTCGGTATATTATTGTCGCATTTAAACTGTCAAGACGGCAGTGGTGACGGGCAAACTACAGAAAGATCACAGCACAGAGCAAAAGTAAAGGTCATTAAATTTTCAAGACGAACAAGAGAAGTTTAACGATTTGCCTTGGCTGGTACCTAAATTAATTAATTTTAATACAATTATCGGTTTTGTTACTGAGACAGAACAAAGTTGCTGATGCGTTCGCCGATAAATTTAAGATGATCGGCTAGTGAACAAACTCGATTATAATATTACACAAATTCACCACTCTAAATTAAACTGTACTTGATTATTTCAATATTTCATCGGCTGATTGAAAGTGCATAGTGGTTGTATATATTATTACAATTGTTCCAGTAAGTACTTGAAGTTGTAAGTATATAAACACGCACTTATATTTAACGTTAATGTACAGCTACGATTATGAAAATAACGGAACGCGCAACGACAGTATCCATCCGAGTTGTTATCACAATATCATAACACTGTTCAGTGCACTATCGGAATCATCCGCGTCGGCCTCGAGGGGGCCGCCGTTGTGTCACCTATCTTACAAGTGGTTTCAGCTGACTCTCCCTCCTTTACAACTCCACTTTCGAGGCTACTTATCGTTCAAATTTGTCTCCACAACATTTCTGACCACTTATAACTAATTAGTATTGTTTATATTTTTAATTTTCTTATTTTTACATACTAACGTTGTAAAAAGTTCAAACAATTACAAAATTCGTAAAATAATAAAAATGTTCATTATTGTAACCAATAAACTTAGTATTCAACAAGTAAATATTACAAACAGTAATTTTACCATACAATAAACTACAGTTGAATAATAATTTTATAGTTTAAAATAATAAAAGTTTTTTTTACGAAATTCTGATATCATTTGAATAATATATCATTGCAATAACTATTATTATATAGAAAATTGTAATGTAAGTACTAAATCAAAATAAAAATTTAGTCCAAAGCCATATTTTTACAAATTTTTTAATAGACATTGCACCTATCTTTATACAGTTTTTCAAAAAAATAAATGTGGAATTCAAAAAATAAAAACTTATATGAATTTTTTTTTAAATATTTGTACATGAAACATGTAACTAGATTTTATAATTATATAGAAAAATAAGCTCTTATTAAGATGCTAATAAAAAAAAAGTTTGATCGTTCATAAATATAATACTAACACGCGTGATTTCCGGACTACCACTGTTTTTATTTAGCTAAATAGAAAATAAAAAAACTGAAACACTTATAGTTAACAATAAAAATTAATATTTAATCTTATTATTATTTAGTGTGATTAATAGTATCAGTTAACTTTGTTGATAACTGAATTTAGTGTAAAAAGATTAGTCTGTGTAATAATTAACTTATTCATTATCTTGTTATAGAAATACTACTCGATAAATTAAAACCCATTGGTAAAAAACACATTATTAATATCGATTATTCTAAAAATTATTAATTAGGAAAATAGTTTTATTTTTTTTTAATTTAACTTAACATCATAAGTTAAAAAAAAATGATTGACCTGTACTGTCTAAATTTCCAATAAAAAAAGACTAATAGTTTCATTAATTGTGAAGTAATATAAAAATTTATTTTGACCGAATATCACCATTTGATACGTTAAATTATAGTGAATTGAACTCAAAAGATTTTGGCTAATCAAAAATCCAACCCTAATTTTAATAATTACTGAGATTCAGTAATTGTTCATTCAAGAAATGTAATATCTCTTCTTACACATATGTACTTTTTGAAGATCGAATTGAAATGGTCACAAGCTTTGTATAAACGGTTTGCGTCAAACAGTCTATACATAATTAATTATGTGGTTGTAAGTTAAAAACGCTATAAATAGTCTTATAATTATTATACAAGCTACCATAATTTAATACAATTGTTAAAAAATCAACTTATTATACATAAAATATAAAATAAACTAAAGTAATTACCTGTTAGTTCTCAGTAATCAAAGGACAAAGTTTCTCTTATTTTATTTAGTGCACTAATGATAAGTATTTTTTACAAATGTATTTTTAAATAAGTTACAAACAACATTAAAAAGATTAGTACGCCTTAATTTCTCTTGAGTTCACAAAAAAGTTTTTTGCAAAATTTTACTGGTAAAAATATAATATGATATTATGTTATTATGATTAGAGTGCTGTGGGCTTTTGAATTTTCCCGGAAGCATTCCAATGTCATTAAATGTTTCGAGGTAAAAACATTTAATAAACTTGAATAATGCAAATAAAAGTTATAAAAAAATACTATTAATAAATTTTATTTTTCAAAAATTATTATTTCATTAATTTATTATTTTTAATATCAAGTATCCAAACATGGTTTGAGATTCGATGGTTAAGCTTATCTAGTTAATTTAGTCTATCTATTAAATTTTACAGGGTCTCAGCTTGACATTTATTCCTAGGAGGAATTTTCGGTATTAAAATAATTTAATTAATTAATTGAAAATGAGCCATATATTAACAAAAAAAAAAAAAAATTCATAATTTCTAAGGAGATTTATAATACTAAAAACCCTTACTGGCACTTAATACGCTAAGTATATTGTGCATATTTACGCTGTTAAAAATATATTTAACATTTGAAAAAACTCATGTCCGTTATTTCTTCTTTAAATTAATCGAAGATCATTTTCCCTTCAACATAATGATTCGAAATATTTACGTTAAATTTAATGGCGATTAAGAGTCACCGTTGGAATAGTTTCGATTAGCGTTTACCTCCATTAGTTTAACACGCAGTTATAGTATCTATTGTAAAACACTGAAGGTAAACGAACGGCTTTTGACATCAGAGCTAATATGGTTATAATTTAACGCGTTAATTATAATAGAAAAACGGTCGCTGTAACGGTATTAACAAAACATTTAATTGAATCTCGTCAAACATTTACATAGTAATTTGACCGGGTTCAACACGAAATATTTCATTGTAAATAATATTATTTACAATTTAATCGTCAATGACCGACATTCGACGATGTCAACGAATCTATATGCACAGTACTTATGCGCAACAAATATAATAACTACAGGTATAATTTTGATGTTTTTCGTATCATTGGGTTTTTTGTCAATGGCATAAATATTTCTGTAACTTCAATGTAATTTAATCGTTTGTTTTTTATAGTGGTTACATCATATTGTTAGCGCAGATAAGACAACAAATGAAATTAATCGATCAGTAACGTACTTTTGTCCTCTTCAAAGGGGTTGCATATAAGTCTTACCTCAAGGAGATAATATTTCTTCCTTTAAACTACTTCGGCTACTAGACATACGGATGAAATAATAATTATCAATAAGTTTTTTTAAAATCCACCTTACAATGTTCTACGCCGTTCCATTTGTCATGTTCTAAATTATGAATTTAGTGTATTCGAACAAATTGTAATACTTCCATATTTGTTTTTTAAAACAAATGACAGACGATTGGCAAAACTATTTCGAACCAGTCATTACTAAAGTTAACGCGCATAAACGTATACATTTAGACTTTCAAGCGACAGAAAATTATGCTTATAATTGTTCTTTTAGTTAACAATAGTTGACTAAAAAAAAAAAAACGATTATAAGAATTGTTTAGTTACTAAACAATACAGCCGAACAAGATAGTTTTCTTAGTCAGTTAAATTATTTAAGCATCAGTTATTATAAAATTCAAACAAAGTTTTTTTTTTTTTGAATGTTGTAAAATATATATTAATATAATAATGAAAAATTGGTTGAATTACTATTGACAGCAAATAAGTAATGACTGCAGTAGTTGCTATTATAAAAATTTGTCGGATATTATGCTCGAGGTGCTCATAATTATTAGTCACTATGCGTTAATTTAACTAATGTCAAAATGAACAAAAATAGTATTGAATTTACTTAATAATCTTACTTGATAATGTGTGTTAAATTATTAGTATCCACTAAATAACAATTGCAAGTATACACTATCAATAATAGGGTCAGTTTCGGTTAATAATTATACTTCAATGACACCTGTAAAACTTCAAGAAAAAATTATAATTTAAAGTCGGCGGTATCTTTGGCATTTTATGTTGAATAGTTACTACATATTCATGAACTACGAAGCATGTGGTCGATGATGCGTAATAATAATAGCAACCAAACATACAATACGTACACTTTGGTCGTAACAAAGTAAACTTTATTAACTGTGTCTAAAAATCGCGGTATTATTGAGGTTATGCAACCTTTGTGGAAGGTCAACAGTAAGGTATGAGCAGCATATTATTTAGGCCATCTTGACATACTGACTAGGACGACATTAATATTTATACTGATGAACAAAATGTATACAACTAAAATATTATACTTTTTATTAATTTAGCTACAAGAAATATGAAAACGATTTACAAATACAATGATGATGATAATAATAATTATTCATAATAATCTACTTTCCAATAGTTATTTTTGGCAGATGGGTTTGTTCATAAAAAAAATTAGAATACAATATAACGATCAACAAAGTACAAAAAAAAAAAAAAAAATTACACATGTAACCAACTGTTAATATCTGTAACTATATATTGCATTTCTTATTTATACATCTTCATTTTTTCATTTGTGTTTTTTGTATTAGTTTCATGCATGATTTCAAATTATAATTAAAATTTTCTTTTATATTAAAATACAGTATCGTAAAATTTAAACGTATGCAGAAGGTAAAACATTTATAAATAATATTGTTTGGCTTTTAAAAATACAATTATTATACCTCTTAAAAGCGCTGTGATATTTCAAATAATATTATTGTTTTAACGAATATTAAAAGTATAGAAAAATTAAAACAAATATACTGAAAACGGATAGGGGACAACGTGAAGAAAAAAATAAAATAAAATAAAACACGAAGGGAACAGAAGTACATCTGTGATTTATCTGATAGCATTCCAAACGATATGACATGGCAAATATGTTTTCGTCACTTTTAAATTTGTGTTTAATCATAGCTATCAGTCGGATTTTTTTAGAATAGCGTTATAATAATTATGAAATTTTTATTATAAAGAGCAGAAACAGTGCAGTTGAGTTAAGATTGAAATTGATACTATTTTGTACTTTCAAATAGATAAAAAAATTCTAACAACAAACTAATCAAGGCACCTAATTTTCAACTTAATTCTTATAAAATGATGAAATAAACTGTACAAAAAAAAAAAAAATAATATAATGGTCAACAATAATTTTATGCCAACTAAATCTAAGTTGTACGCCAATTTTCCTTAATCACTAATTACGTTATAGTCTATAAAATTAATTAAATCGATTAATATAATATTATAATCCGGTCTAACAAATCATTCTTTGTAAAAATAAAACCCTAAATTAAATTGCTTTGTGTTTCCAAAAGTAAAGAACAGTTATTTAAAACTAAAGAAAAATAATCACAAGTTCATTGCGAAATTTGTACAATTAGATTACTCTCAGCCGTCAACAGCTATCCTCAAATTATACATAATGTAAAATAACTAATTATTTAATTTTTTATAAATACGTAACACTATTATCACAATCCATCGGTTTTCCCTTCGAAAAAATACGCATTCCCATAAAATCACATAACTATTTTACTGTAATATGTTTAGTTGTTAAAAAGCTTTAGATAGATATTGAATAACAATACTATGAGTGTTATTAGTTTTACCAGTTCGATGGTTATCTAACCGAAAACTATGTAACAAAAAAAGCACGTGAAAAGAATTTGTAACACATACTCGCACGTTTTTATGCTGATAAAAAAGACATTTAAAATTATCAACTTTTGTTTTTTACGATTTCAACAAATAACCTTATGAAGTAAATAATAAATTTTAATTGTTCGATACTTATAGTATTATTTTTATCTTAAAAGGTTTAATTATTGCAACGCTATTTTGTCAAAACTAATTTAAGGAATATTAATTTTTATTGCTGTTTATAATCTGTTTTTTGATAATTGTTTGGCAAGTAGAGCGGTATGCATTTTATTGAAGGGAGACAGCGATTAACTTAAAAAATGTATTGCTAGTTGTTTTTTTCATTATTATTATTAAGAATGCACGATAAAAATACTGCTATGTGACAGTGTCAACACTAAACATATTTGTATAGTTCAACATTTAGTAATCAATAATATTTTAAGTATTCGTTATATTTATTAACTACAAAAATAATTTATTGCCTGCATTTCGATTACACGTTTGCTTAAAAAATGTTCGATAAAAATTCATTTCCTTAAGGTAAACCACAATCAACCCAGTTTCCTCATTAAAATGAAATCGTTTTAACATTAGATGCCGTATGCGTCCTCTATGGTTTTGACGTTATAAAAAATAAGATTTTAATCTTGTAGAGATAACGTGTGAAAATTTTAACATGTTTTCCGCAAAATCGTTGCTCATTTCCTTTTAAATTTGTCGTTTTCCTTTTTAAAATGTGTTTTTTTGTCAAATGTTTACCGGGTTCCTTTTAACAATTTATCATGATTTTAGCGGAACAAAAATCGACGTGTTATTATGTTGTAAAACATATTGGACGCAACGAGCAAATAATGTACAAAAAATAATAATAATAATAATAAATAATAAGGCAATCAGTCTTATGGAAAACACCGACGTGTACAGAACAATGTACACACGGATAACGCCAAATCCTTACAATCAATTATAATACTTTTTTTGTCGATCATTTATCAACTTAAAATGCTGAATTAGGTTTCCCTAATTCAGAGTGTTAAGGGCTAATAAAAAACATGTACACGCTAGTTGTTGAAGTATCGTCGAATTAACTATAAGTAGTAGTGGCGTTCTCCGGTGTTTCTAAATCATCTGATGACCAATAGCTGCAAGCCGATCAGCAAACCGACCGCTGTCACTGTTATCACTGTCAAGGCAGTACTTCGCATACCTTCGGATTGGTTGACCTCGCTGCACGGTGTTTCTCCTAAAAAATAAATGACATTGTAAACAATAGGCGATTGCTCGATATTTCGTGTTGCAATAATGAAATATTTTTACTTGCATCATCACCAAACTTACCGGTAGCAGACAACGAGATGTTAAAAGACAACACCAGTCCTGGTTTTTCTGTCAGATTATCATTGCCGGTCGATTTGCAATTATCAGAGTATATGTTCACTTGTACCTTGTCCGGAGGCTGCTTGACGTACGACACGCAGTAAAACTTTCTCCAACCGGCTGCTGTCGGGAAGTCGCTGCTGATGATTTGATACACAGTATTGTTGTCCTTCCAACTGCCGTGGCATTTGTATGCTGAAAACATAGGCCACCTTGATTAGAACTTTTTACATGCAAATACATTTTCAATTAGTCACAAACAACAATTTTTATCCGAGCGCAAGGTAAAACTACATAAATTATTATCGAGTATCCGTATATTGTCGTTATTACGTTTATTTTTTATTTTATTCATTAAAACTTTCAAAATAATAAAATTTCCTGAATAATTATTATTTTACGACCCTTATAAATGCATTATAATGATTTTATGAAATAGTAAAACCGTAACGAAATAGTTTCTTAAAAACGAAAACATGCAATTAAATACAAAACAATAAAGGAATGTTCAACTTTGCGAACAATTATTTACAATAATTCATCAAAGTTGCCATGAATAGAATCAAACGATATGAAAATTTAAAAATATATTGAACTTGTAATTATATTTTTATTATAAATTAAAAATATTCTATAGTTTTATTTAATTTAACTTCATAGGTATAAATATGTGTTAATTTATATTTGTAATAGTTATTTATCCCAAAAATGTAATATAATCGTTATAGTTACTAATGTCAGTAGGACATTATTTTCATTTATTTCCGCCATTGGAAAGGACTCTACACATGATATTCGCTGTTATATGTATATATTGTTTTATCATAAATACTTAATGTATGTTTTATAAAGATTGTATATTTTTATCTTAAAAAAAAAAACTTCGTGGATGTCAAAAACGTAAACATTTCTTGAGATTCGTTGTAAAAAGTCCAAAAATTTATATTGGATGTATAGTTTTTCATAAACATATAAAAGGTTATTTTGATTCGGAAACTAAGCCCGCAATACCAGCAATATGAGAAGACAAATCTAAGCATTTGTACGGGTTCTCGTAGATAAATGATATTAAAAAAGGTCATTTGGTAGTTTGTTAATTGGGTTTATGTCTTGCGTATACAGGACGATTTATTAGGTATACTACCTACTATTATTTTCGTTATATAATGACTTTCATAAAAATATAAATAAAAAAATTAAATTTATTTCATTGTGAATGTTTGTTGTAAGAAATTAATAATTGTAAATATTATTCCTAAGGATAGATTTTAGGGGTAATTTTCAAAAGTTAAATGAGAACTTATTATTATTATTATTATTTTAATTGTAAATGAAATTTAATACATAATGGTTATCGACTAGTCAACATTTTTTTTAGATCATTTTTTTTTGTGAAAAATTGTACTGGTAGCCATGTAATGAAAAAGGTATTTCACAAATATTAAGAGAAATCAATCGGAATTTAAAAATATTACTGAATCTAACTAATCCTATTTTAACAACTATATGTTTTTTTAAATTGATAATTAATGACAGTATAAGTATCAACTGGCATACAATTTCGGCTAACGAGCCAAAATAGGAAAATATAAACTTTTGTTCTATAGGTTATTTTTAAGCTGAGAATTTTATATTGGTGTTAAAAACATAAATGTTTCCAATAATTAACAAAAATTGCACAAGAGATATTTCAACCTTACTTTCTGTAAAGGCGGCTAGTGGTGTATTATAAGTTTCTCAATTGTGGTGGCAGAGGGGAGTTTATCAAAACAATTTAAATGATTTTTTTCCCTAAAATATTGATTTACCACTGTTAATGAGTACGCCTTAGCTCTATAAGTCCCTTCTGGATATACCACTGATTACAACTTCTTCATAGAACCACTATTAGATTATTACATTAATACATTATTAGATAATACATTTTTATTGTTTAAGTGTAGCTTTTATATTTCTAGAGTAAATTAAGCTGTTTGACAATGAAAGAAAAAATATTGACTAATGAATTTTTTTTTAAAATAAATGCATAAGTTTTTATTTTACATAATATACATTTATTATGATAGCAAAACATATAAGAACCAGTACTATATTCTTTGAAATAAAATCTGCTAAATATTCTAAGAAAAAAATGAATTTACAATTACCACATTTTTTTACATTTATCCCACTTGACATTATAATCATACAGGTTTATCATAAATCATTCGGTTACTCTCAAAGTAAATACAATATTGCAAAAAAAATTTTATATCTTTTAGTTACAAATGGCTTTTGATTTATCAGCTTATAATCTTAATATAATATGAATTTTTTTATCTATGAAAACATTAAACAAGCCAAAAAATATGATATCAGCGTTGATAATATAATGTGTTTTCATTAACTACATGAGTTTTCGTGGCTTTTGAGTCAGTTAATATTATTACTATTTTTAATTAAGGTTTGTGACAAATATACTACAAATTATTTTAAATGTATTATGTTATTGTTGTACACGATTAAAACATTATTAGTAAGAGCTATTTCTGTGATATTAAAAAGTAATACGGATTATACAATAAACATTGATCATATATTATTTAAAATATTAATTTAAGTCTAAAAAATATTTAAATCAAAAAGCCACAAAATTGCTAAAAATTGTAGAAATTTATTACGCGATCGATGTTATCACCTAGTCGATTGTCACAATTTACCAGATTATACAAGTTTAATAGTGAATCTTTTAATAGGTCAAGTTCACACTTAATTATATTATTCTTATTTTTAAACAATTCTATTATCTTCCTTATATTAAGTTATTGGTAAATATTTACGTTTTAAATTAGTTTTATGGTTTTAATGAATCGATCAATTTAAATTTTAGTGGTAATTTTTCAAATAATCATAAGACTATGTGACCTATTCATAAATAGGGATATATTTTCTATTTATTTTTTTTGACATTTAGTAATCCTATAAATATTTTATGGCAAAACGAGTGAAATAAAATAAATTAGTCGCAAGATGTCTGTTAAAAATACATGTTCAAAATCATGTTACATCTTCAAGAATTTTAGATATTACATATAATTGCTATAAAGTATTTACTTGCAATTGTTTCTGGTCATACATTAGTTATGCCTAATTTGTTGTATAGTCATTGTGAGGCACATGCCAAAGTTTCTTAGTAAATGATGAGTTGTTTTTTTTTCTCGAAAATATGCCTAATTTATGTTTTTTGACTCTGCATGTTTGTCCCACATATTTATAAGTACCTATTGAGTCACATTCAATTTAAGAAAACAATCAATGATTTACCATGTTAGCAATTTACGTACAATTGTGTAGTGTTAACTCAACTAAGATAACATTAAAATTTTGTAAACGGTAGTGTATAACATTAATGTATTAAAACGTAATATTTAGATTTTCCTATGGATAGAATATAATAAAAAAAAATATATTTTATTTAAAGTTATAAATTTCAATTGAATGGATAAATTAAAATTAGACAAACGTTTTCAGATTTTTTAAGTGTTTAATTATTGGAGAAAAAATAATGTTTTGTAAGTTTAACATAAACAATTTTAAGAAAAATGTTTTTTTCTTTATACATAATATTCTGCAGTACTGAACATTAGAAAAAAATGAATACCTAGAGATATATTTAAAATTATTGTTGACGAGTAAAACAATCATAAAGATAATATACAAATATAAAAAAAATTTTTTGCTACGCATATCGTCACATAATACTTCGCATTTTCACACATAATTAGATACTTGCACACTTTGTTAAAATTAATGAGCACAAGTAAAATGTTTTAGTAATGTAGAGAGAATATATTATATTTATGAGTACTCAATTTTTAAAATAGATAAAATAGTAAATTAAGTACTCATTATCAATGTCTTTATGTAGAACTTAAAAAAAAAAATATTGATCTTAATTCATAATTAAGTATTAGTATTATATTAGTATGTGTTAAAATTAGTGTTAAATAACGAACACTTATCATCAAAGAACTAAGAGTAGTTGACCAAACTAATGAAAAACTTAATTATCGAAGGGTACAAGTGGAAAATAAAATAATTATTTTCATTAATTAATTAATTAATGTAATAATTCTATTTAATAAATAACATTTTAGCATAATTTGATTTTTAAACATAAAACTTTCATTTTTTCGTTTGAAAAATATTGGTTCTCTTATTAAAGTATTAAATTGATAAATAAAATATCTAAAATTATGTGTTATAAATCAATTGATTTTAACATTTAATAACAATTTTCGATCGTGGTCGAATATTATCTAAAATACAAAATATTTGAAAAAAATACGTCTTCAAAATAAGCTGCTTACAATGGTATGTAGTATTTATTTTTCAGTAGAATAAATGCAAAAAATAAAAATTAAACGTTGAAAATTACGTAGTTTGTGGATTTTCCATAATATGCAAATTGTAAATTTTGTAAGTTCTATAAGTGTCGTTAAAATTATTTTTTTATCATCAAATTTTCACCAGACGTTTTAATTGCCTAAAGGTAAGTACTATGTAAATTTGAAAAAAATTCGTTCAGTCACTTTTGTGTAATGAGATGATAAAGTTTGCTATTTACAGCAAACCACGCGTGTTCAAGATCGTAAAACGATACAAAAAAATGTATAAATCGATTCAAATATAATATGGTTTAAAAGAACATAACTAAAAGTTTCTGAAAAGAAAAAAAAATTTTTATTAAAATATTTTTTGACCTTCAAATTTTGCTATCAAAATACTGCGAAATTTAAAAAATTCAAATCAAAATTTTAATGTTAAAAAAAATTCAAAATTCATAACCTTAAGAATGAAATTGAAGTACTATTTAATACAAGTAAAACAGTGCTCGTTCCGCAACGATAGCTTATTTGGATGTGAAGTTATAGGCTCTAGAACATAAGGTGTTTTTTCATGTTTTTAATTATAAAAATCTGGTAAAAAAAAGTTTTTTTATAACAACTTAATATTTTAAAAATATAGTTTAAAAAAATGATACATTTGACATGTGACATGTTAAATTCAGAAAAGTTCAACGTTAAATTATTAAAATTGAAAGTAGACTTTCGATTTTTATTCGAGTTGATAGATGATTAATAATTAATGACTTTAAAAATAAATTCGTTCAAACTTTTCTGAATTTAGTCACTTCACGTGTTAATTGCTAAATTGTTCAATTTATTTTTATTTTTCTAAAACTTATTAAATAAAGTAATAATATTAGATTAATTTTCAATATAAATTAAAAAATTGTTTTTGTATATAATTTTTAAATATTGACAAAGATTTCGAAAAAGTATTTTGTTAGATTTTTGACATACTCAGGTGAACAAGATGAACCTAAATGACATCTCTAATAACTTTTGATACAATTGACAATTTGTTGTGATTTTTAGCTTCGACAGAGATGCTGAGGTGTTGATTTTATTATGTGTTATTTTTATTTTTATGTTTCTCCAAAAATATACTCGGCTCTCACTGGACCGATATTAAATAATTATTACGTTAAAAAAATTCCGATTTTCATTTAGTTAAACCCATAAATACTGAATATTAAAAAAAAACCTTCAATTTTGGACTACGTTAAATTCATCTTTTTATTATTTGTTTTTATTAATTATTAAAAAAAAATAATAAATAAAACAAATGTTTTTAAAAATTTCACTTAGTTCTTAATTTATAGAATTTCTAAATAATTACTGCATAGCGTTATATTAAATGTTTTTAAATATAACGAAATGAAAAATAATGCTTACTATTTCACAATATCCGAGAGGATGATTAAAAAAATTAAGTTCAACACCAAAAAAGTCGGCAGTGTTTCTCTTATTTAATTTTTTGGTACACATATAAAATAGATATTTAAAATCGTTTTAAAAATATCGTGATATAGAACCTAAAGGTTATCTACACAATGACATGTCCACAAGGAATAGAAATTTTTGATTATGTCGGCATATGAAAATCGTAATTTTTTTTGCAAGTTTTTCTTTTTGTTTTTTGAAAAATGAAATAAAAACAAAAAGTTTTCAAATACTCAGATAATTTTGTCACCAGATATTGTCGTTTATGATACTTTTTAATTTATTTCCCTTTCGTAGAAATTTTACTTTTCGCTATGTATTTATTTAACTCTGCCATTTTCTAAAATCATTCATGTAACATGATCGGAATTGATTGCTTTAAAATGAAGTGTTTATAACTATAATTAATTTTTTCTCAAGTATGCTTTGTTTGACTTTTTCATTTTTTGAACAATTTAAGCGTACAAAACAACAATTGTTTTGAGTCTTCGCAAAATATGGAAGAAGTGATGAACGTTATATATATATATGCAGTATAATTTAAATAAAAGGCGGTATTAATATTTTCGACGTCCGTTTTGGGCTTAGCTCATTCCTCCACAGCATCAGCACACAATAATACAAAAGCCTTTGGACCCGGATCAACTCGCGTGTCACACAGTACACATTATTCCATATCACCGCCATCGTTTGTACCAAGTTATCAGTTAATTTATTCCCAGCCCTCCGGTTCTTGCTTTATTTTTTTTTTCTAGAACGTAAAGCCTGGACATTCTCCGGAAATTTTGACCGGATTTCCGTCAAGTCCAATCTTTATTCGCTTGAATATTATTACTAAAGTCATTCACATTAATCGCATAATACTATAATTTTATTGAACGACTTAAGATCAACAAACAAAATACATTATATTTGTCAATTTTACAAAAATTGATAGCAATTTTTTTTTTTAATTGTACTTTATCTAATAACAATAAACGGAAAGTTTAAATAAAAACTTGATTATTAAATTTTGGTTGTTTTTATTTAGTTTGCGTCATTTACAGAGACTGGCGAGTTGGTTAGCGTTAAACTGTTACATAAGTAAACTTTTAATAAATTTCGTAATAGTCCACTGTGTCAACTTTTTATGTAAATATTCGAGTGTTTTTAGTTATCGATGTTTAAGCGACTTATAGAAAATAAACAGACACTTCTAAACCTGTATTTATGGTAAAATTAAAAATCTTTAGTTGATAAGGAAAATAATCAAAATAATTACGAGACTGAGTAGATGTAACATCAAAGTAAAATATAAATTTGAGAAAATTGAGATACTTGTAGAGGACCATATTACTTAGTTGATTATTCAGTAGTATTGTGTTCTGAAGTTCAATTATTTATTACAGGTTGGGTTAACTTAATAATAAATTCTGAGACCATAATGTAACGAAGAAGATGGATATTACCTTTTCCTTATAATTGTAGGTTCATAAACTATCTCAGAGGATATTACTTATAAGAGGATCGCCTTAGCTTTGGTTTAAAAATAAATTATAAAAAACCACTGTGATAAAATGGTTGCTCATAACATTATTAGAAATTATTCAATTATGTTTTCTTTTATAAAACTCAGATAATTTCAAAAGAGAAAATTGTAGTGCTTGTAAATACTCGATACATATATATTTTTTTTAATTTTAAATAATAAATAACACGGAGATTTATGTAGGCAATTTTAATACAGAGCTGTCATATATTTCTATTGGTCGAGTAATATACCATTTAGGAGCTTTATGTTCGTTTTAATCATTTCTGCCAATATAAAACAGGGTAAGTACAAATTCCATTTAGGCAATTAATATAATTCAATATATAAATATAGTAAATTTTTTGTAAATATTAAAAGACGTTCATGAAATTCGAACGTACTTTTATGAATGTTATGTTGTTAATGTTATTTTATAAATTCATTGTCTCTTAATACTTATAGAAGTTTAAATATTATAATTAAAATATTAATATTATATTTATTACTTTTTGTAAATAAAAATAAAATTTTATTGATAAAAATATATAAAAACAATATTTTTATTTTTATAAAAATATTGAACATTTAAAATAATTCAAAATATTTTACTTAACTCGGCTTATGTATAACATATTTTTAGTTATTTATTCTATGGCTTTTAATATAAATACAATATGAACATAGTTTTTTTAAAGCACTTGTTAGCTTTCGAACGATTTACTTTGATATGTATTTTTGATTTGCAGAAGAGGTTTATTAAATGAGTACTTTATCACTGTTTTTTTTTTTAATTAATTTATTTTATCACGTTTACTTTTGTACTTGCCATGCCATTATAAAATTTAAAAACTCACTTGATTTCACCAGAGATGTCCGATGACATTCAGCATTCAACTCTAATGCATCCACGGCTCCGCATGAAAAGACCACTGATGTTAAGTTCAGTGAGCACTTGTCATCGTTTATTTTATTGTTACTTAGCGTTCTCCGACTTTTTCTCTTTACCCTGCGTAAGATGACATCGTCGTCTTCAAATTCGGCTTGACGCTCCATTTCTTCTTTGGTCGAGTTTTTCCTGGACCTAACGAAACTAGGCAAGTCTGGCTGTAACTTTTTGTATGTTACACTCCAGTCATCTGCCGATTTTTCATAGTATTCGGAAGAATGACGTTTGGGAGATGGCTGGGTAGTGGTTGTCAGCACAATTGGAAATGGATGATTGTCAGAGGTTAACAAGTCAACGGGCATCTGAAATAGAATTTTGCGATCGTACAAATTATTCCATAGAAATATGTGATGTTTTATTTGAAAAGTTACATTGAGATTTCTTTTACTCAGCGATAACGCTGACACGTGATCATTCCAGACGAGATTTGTGTTGATCTTAGAGATGCCATAAATTCCTTTAAAAGGACAATTTCGGTAATCCGATTTGGAAGCTAAAAAAAGAAAAAATGAGTTAAGCACCACGTTTCATTTAAAATATACTTGCATAGTTTTAAAATTACATTGGATAAAATTAATATATTTAAATATTTTATTTAAACATGAACATTTTCATAACTTACAATGTCTACCATGTTTAATAAAAAGATTTTGTGTTGAAATATTTGTATTTGTATTCATATTACAACAATTTTCATGACGAAATTATTATTTATTAAAACTGACAGCTGATATGAACAGAATATTTTTTATACAGATATTCTATATTTTCTAAAATTTTATTATAAATAACATAAAATCCTTCAAGATACATATTTTTTCCGTTCGACCTAGTAGTGAATTATTGATTTACTTGTTTAATTAAATTCCCCGAAGATATATAATTTAGTGTTTTCAACAAATTTAGCATAAACTAGTAGTATTGGCATTAATTTTTTTCATAAAATTATTATTATGCGCGTATTACACACACTGTGTAATTTATTATTTAATATAATTGGTATTTGGTTTAAAATAAAAAACACTTACTGCTAAAATTCTGTGACATCTAAGTGTTTTTATTGTAAAAACAGTATTCAAGCTTTTATTAACAGCTCTTTGTTAACATTGGGAAATACAAGTATGAAAAAATTAAATGTGATGCCCACGTCAACTATACTTTAATTGTTGATATTTGTTGTTCAGCACACGTTGTATTTGTTATTATGTACATATTTTGACATATTGACATTATTTTCAAAAACCTTTAGGTTATTTATTTTAGCAGAACTAATCGTAGTCGATTGGTGTACATAAACACGTGTGATATATTATAGCAATTACAGACTTACCAACTAAAGTAATTGAATCTGTACTATGTGGATCGAAAGTAGGCAAATTGCACGCATCTTCTGATCTTCTACTCGGTTGGCCTAGTTTATTTAAAATAAAAAATAATATAAAACTTCTATTTAGAGTTTTTATTTTTATAATTTTATTATAGTTTAACGAATTCGATTTTAATATATAAAACCTGGCAACAACTTAAAGTTAAAGTATAAGTTGATACAATTTAAAAAAAAAAAGGTTTATTAATTTAACAACTTAATATTAATTTATGGTTAATTATTCAAAGAATAGCTGTCCAAAACTTAATTCAAGTTAAAATTTAAGTATGAAATTCCGATTTCGATGCATAAAAAAAAACCCATACTAATTATGAAATATTGATTTTGATGTTTTTTAGAAATAATTTTAAATTCAAGGTTACACTTATAATATCTGTTGGTATTTTACAGTAATTTAAAGTTTAAAATTTCAATTTCAGTTGAAAAAACAATGTTTCTTATTTTTTTTTTTAATTACTATTTTTAAATATTTAAAAAATATATATGTAAAAATTTTGTTTAATGTAATTATTATGATCATGTACTTTGATCGTATTATTAGTTTTTGAATAAGTCATACATAAATATTATTTTGTAATTATAACATTATCACTAGGTAAATCATAAACTTTTAAAGAAGTATTCGAAGATACAGGGTACATTTTGACCTTGCAACTTAAAATTATTTCTAAGGAACTTATCAAAATCAATATTTCATAATTAGTTTAGTTCTTTTGCATATATCAAAGTCGGAATTTTGTTCAGCTAGAATTGAGTTTTGGTCTACTTTGTGACGTTTGTTTAGACTTAGTAGTGTAATAATATTTTTTGGGGATAATCTTTTTAACTTGACTTTATTACATTTTACAGTAATATAAAATGAACTTGAGTTGGCCAGCAAGTAAAAAACTTCTAAATTTATGTATTAAGCTTCAAATAAATCGACCAAATGAAGCTAGAGATATAGTCTAATTCGAATTAAAGTTTATTCCAATAAACAATGACCAATTATTCAATTTTATGTTTTTTAAGTTTGCAAACAATTAAAAATTATAATTAGAAATAACCGAATTTATACTTGACGACCAAATTAAGCTAAATTTACAGTAATAATACAGGATTTTTTTTGACTAGAAATTTTTCGATTTCATTAAAGCAATTTTTTGATAGCGTTATTACATGGACACAGATTTATATGCATTTATAAATTTTCTTTTGGGTTCCAAATTTGTACTACTTGGTCGTAGGACTATATAGTTACGTAGAAATATTTTTAGTTATGGGGGGGGGGATAAACTTCCTAAGTTCTTATGCGGCTATAAACCAATAAAAAGTTAATTATGTTTCTATAATAAATTTTCAATAAATAATCATTACTTCAATTAATTTTCAATTTTCATTAAATGTTTTCAAAGAAATTATTTAGTTCTAATTTTTTTTTTGTAAGAATATATTTTCCCGTAATAATCTACAGACAAATATTCTCGTTACCGAGAAATTCCTCTTGAATTCGTTTGCTACATCATTACTTACACGCTTTCAATATATGCCTTTTACTTTTGATGTCAATTAAATGAATTTTTAGGCAAACTTTTTGAATAAAAATACATAGATTGGTATATAATTTATTAGCGGCTTTTTATATGATTTTTTGAAAAATGTAAGGTACATAACAGACAAATATATTGTATCGGATGATTTTACTAAAGTAAATGACTCACCCATTTGAAGTTCTGCCAAGTCGTTGGACCTCCCACGGAAGTTCAAACAAATGTATCCACTTTGACTAAGAAAGCAAAAAAAAAATGTAATCGTGTAAAATGTAAATACTTTTAAAAGATTCACAATTTACCATCCAGTGACATAGTGAGCCATTACTCTGAATTGATTCGACGCCACTTGGATTTCTTGTTGGCACGATAATTTCATTTCATGGCCCGGTAATGGCGCCACCAATGGTTGATTGTAGATGAATTGATTTACAGTCTGCACCAATTGTGTTGTAGATGAGTGATCCAGCGAATTCGTCACCAACTTCAGTGTACTATTATTATGATGATGTGGAAACGTGAATATCTTACCATGATCCAACGTCCTCCATCTTTGATTTCCCGTTAACCACAATGGAAAACTACACTTTGTCTCCATTGTTTCTGATGAAAAAAAAAAAAAAATCATACTTAGGAATTTGGCACTGTCAGTTTGTAATCTACCTTTTTTCAGTATCATTGTTCTGGATCCTTCTAATGGGCTAAATAGACCGCTACATGTTGCGTCTCCAGACTGGGCTACTCTGTACTCGATATCACTACCACCTTTCACTTGCCTTTGAGTAGTCGTTCGTTCGTAAATAAAACACCTGAAACGATCTTCGGTTGACATAGGAATGCCATTGCTGTGATGAACTCTTCCCACTAAAAATCTGTAGGAACCCTCTTTCCAACCGGCAATGCATTCGACTTCTTCCACTGTTAAAATAAATTTTATTACTATATAGTTAATTAGTTATCTCGTTGTCTACTTCATGTCAATACAATTATTGGATAGTTTGAATTCCTATACACATTGTACAACATTATTAAAATTACTCTGTTACCTATTTTACAGAGTACATTATCTCGCGGTTTTATATTTACTGTACAGGGGTAATATGCCCCGGAGGAACTCGGAGATTGACAAACACGATGCGAACTATGAATTGCATTGTATAGACACGAGGTCGTTAAATTTAAATTCCCTTTATATTATTCGAGTTACGCTTGCTCACTAATTTCGAAGACCCTAAAGTTTTCTCTCCAATTATTTTTACTGCTCAGTGCAATAAAACGTGTTTATTTTACATTTCTGTTTTATTAATAAAGTTATTTATAATAATGTTTAAATGAGCAATTTTTACAGTTCAGTTTATAGAAACAATAATTTTTTTCAGTTGTTTTTGTTTGACAATATTATTAATATTCTGCTTAAAAATATGAAAGCCTTCGCATATATCTTCCAGTTCTGAATTATTGTTTCGGGCCAAATGATCACAATCTTATAATCCGTGTTTATAAAGAACAATTCGTTCCATTTGTGATTATGTTTATACAAGACATTGAATTAAAAGCGGTTAAACAAGTTTAAATCTATGCAATATTTTTCATCTTTTTTATTGAATTTGTTTAAAAAAATATATCTAATTATTTTAATTAATTTTTTTTAAATAATAGAATTTCTTATTTAAATTATTATATTATAATAAATGCTGTACATGATAAAATTATATTTTTAATTATATGTTTGTGTAGATATTATCTAGGCATTGTTGGATAACTTAAACTCCAAATAATCAAATGTATCATTATTATAAAACAAATACTGAATCGTATGTAATTTAAATATAATATGTAAAATGTACATGTTATATATTTTATTTTTTTATTTTTTACTTTTGTGTCTACCCATAAATATACTCAGCTTTCAGTAAGCCAATTTTAATGATCTATACGTCAAAAGAATCTGATTTTAATCTTATCGCATCTGCTGTGTCAAGATTGCAAAAATATCCTAATTTTTAGAAATTTAGAAAAATATTTGAATATTACGCGACCGTAAAAAAAAATTACCCAGATTTTTTTTTTCTATATTTTTAATTGGTATAAAATTTTTTTAAATCCACAGATTTTAATCAAAATTTAATAAAATATACTGAAGACAATAAACTTTTATTGGCATACTTTATTTTTTTTTAGTTTAAAATTTGTTTTACTTTAAAACTAAAGTATAAAAGAGTTTTAAACGAGATCACTCACATAAATAAAATTTTTTAATAAATCCCTATCAAATGTTTTTATTTTGTTATTTAACTTATTCTTAGTTTTTTTACGTACATTTTTTCTTATATTTTTTAGTGAACCTACAATTTGAATGTTTATTACATATTACGATATTTTTTCAGAGCTATCTACAGTTTTATTGAATTCTTTCATTTTCGCTTCAGTTACATTCTCGTTCAACTGATTACTTAACTTGTTTTAACATTATTTAACGCGTGATAGAACATCATTTTTTAAGATGTTAACAGCTACTTACAAGTGCTCTCCGACCCCTCGATGTCTGGACATGCCTGGTATCTGATGAGTAATCTAGAATCTTGTGTGCATGCATCTACGGTTGACACTGGATTTTTACAATCTCCATGACCACGATTGTAAGTAAAAGTATATGGAGGCTTGAATGGACAAGGCATAGGGTTGCCAGATTCTCTAAACATCGAGTAAAGTAATGCGTCTCCAGTGATCAATGAACAGATGGTTTTAAGGTTACCTTTTTCGTTGCAAAACGCTGAAAGTAGTAAAAAAAAAAAAAAAATCAACAACACTCACTATATTTCAGGTTATTATAGTGAAGGGGTCGAGGGACTTTGAGAAAAACGTTAAATAATATAATTTATCAAGACCTATTTTAGATTGTTAGAACGAGCAGGAGAAAAGATTCTGCAAAACGGTATGAACAATAATTAACGTCAGTTCTCTTCCACGCGATTTCGTTTTGGTCACACAACTTTTGCTTATTCTTTCATTATTTTTCTAAACTTTTTCTTTTGCCCTTATAGTTATTTCATTTATTATCGTTTCTTTTCTCATACACACATAGTTTTGTACCATCAGCTACAAATTGAATAGATTGTCCTGTTTTACGGTCCGATAAACATCTTCATCAATTGTTTCGATTTTACCACACCATGTCACACGACAATCGGTAACGATGACGGAGCCAGATTTTTCTTGGCATCAAACTATTTCATTTCACTCCATTACTATCTGATAAAACTTTCTGAACAATTCACGTCTATACCCAATTCTCTCTATGATAAATATAGGCGTTAAGAAAATACAACTCACTTTCTTTGTATTGCAGCACGTTGTTATGCTTTTCGTGGATGACTACGCAACGGTAGCAAATTTTTTTCCTAAAATAAAAAAATGTTCATTAATAAAATAGATGACAAGGAATAATAATACAACAATTTGAAATTGTGTACAACTGGATGGCCCTCGATGAATATTGTTGATTTTATTTGGTACAATGATTCTTTTATTTCATTTGAACACAATATGGTTTATTTCCGGACCGTATGATCGGCACATGCCAAAAGGGTGACTTAATGCAGACATGCATAGCCAGTGACATTTTGTTATTGGACACATGACCGTTTCATATTTCCGACTAGGATATTAAATCTCAGTAACTTGTTAAGATATAGTAAAAATGTTTCGATTTTATACTAAATAATTAAAGGGGTGTAATATTTTATTTTAATTATCTATAGTACAAAAAAAAAAAAAAAATTGAACTTCAATGTAAATGGGATATACTAACAAAATACTAATAGGTTTCTTATCATTCTAATCGAATAATAAGGCTACATGTTTCATTATTTAAATTCGCTATTATACACAAATTATAAAAAATTCTTAATATTTATTTTATTATAAAATAGATAATTAAACAAATAATGTTGGTATGTAAATGCCAACATAAACTATCAAATGGAGCATATATTTAATAATATTTAATTTATAATAATTTTAAGCTTCGATGCCAATTTGGAGCACTTAAATATTTTACAGATTTCATCACTTAATATTGGTGAACAAATATATTATGTTTTTTACAACATTTGTAAATATTTTAATAATGCCATAATGATACGATTAAAAAGTCAATTAGTGTTATAAAATTTCCGGAAATTTAATACTAAAGAAATTTCTGTAGAATTATCTAGAAATTTTAAAGAAGTTCGGGAATTCTTATTCAAGAATTTATAATTTACTATTTTCTTTATTTAATCATTTCTAAATTTTATTTTGAATAATTCTGAACAACTTTTAAACATGTATCATTATACATTTATCGGCCTCTATACGACTAGGTACAAAAATGTTAATTACTTAAAAATAGTTATAATTCATACCTCATAAACAGTCTATATTTTATAATAGTAATAACTTCCTAAATTTTCTTTAATTTGATAATTTTTTATTTTATAAGTTAAATATGTATGTTGACCTTAAAAAGCATAAAGTTGAAACCATTATAGTATTTAAGGGATGAACCAAAAAATTACTTGAAACTAAAAGAGTTAAAAATTATATTCAATATTATTTTTATTTTATAAGTAATTGAGTTGGTTTAGATAAACAAATAAAATTTTAAATAAAAACAGTATAATAACATATTTATTTATACTTTCTATTTAAAAAAATATAAAATATGACGACCTTATATAGAACGTATTTTCTATTAAATACTAATAAATGTAACTATTGTGGTAAAGCTATAATAAAATACAAGGAATTGTAAAATCTCTCTAAACGTCAGTAGACTCTATTTTAAATATTTTTTTTGCATATTAGATCATAAAAGATTATAAGTCAAAAATAAATATTTTTTGTGTTTTTTCTTAATTTCAATAACATAATTTAATGCCCTTTCAAAAATTTTTTATCCTTTACATAAATCCGCACTCTAATATAACTGATGACAAATATAGTTAATAACAAACTATTTTCAAATTGCCATCAAAACAATTTGATTAAATTTCTATTTTCTTATTGAAAATTCTAAATTTTGAAATTTTTCTATATTGCAACACTAATGGTAATAGATATTTAATTGCCCTAAGTTGTTCCATTTGCCCAATTACTGCCTGACTTTTTAAAACTCCATCAAATTGAAGCTAATACAATGTGCTTTAAGATAAAAAGAGTAAAAATATTTGAAGTTTCAATTGTTTGAATGCATGACATTAAAACCAAAAATTACACAATTTTCGGTAAAAATAGATGATTTTCGAGGGCTTTGCATAACAACGGAACTTCTACAAACTCTCTTCATTCAAAAGTAAATCAAATTTGACGTTTTTTTGTTTATTAGACGATGACAAAAGAAAAACATTCCGATGAATTGTCCATTATCAATAATCGACCTCTTCAGTCAAAAATTATGTAATTTTTGTTAAACATTATAAATTTTTGTATAATGATAATAGTGAATTATATCGAGTTATTTTTGATTTTCTAAATCAAATTAGAACTTAAACTCTTAAAATATAAAAAGGGTTTTTGTTAAAGGCCAATGTAAATTCTAATTTCACGAACAAAAATGTAATAACCAAAAAATCATACATTCAAAATTTCATAAAAATTGATCAATTATTCCGACTACAAAAAGTTATTCGAAGTTAATCTTGTTATTATTATTTAACACAAGTCTCCCCTAATCGAAAAAGGGCTTATCACTCTTTCATCAGAAACTCATATAATAAAGTTAATATAAAATTATTTAATATAAGAAAACTCATATAATTTTTCACCTGAAATTTTATGACAATATAACTTGAAGTCAATTATATTATATGATCTCTTTACTAAGTATAATATTACATCTTATTCATTTCAAAAGAGATTCTATATTTTTTACATTTTTTTAATTTGGGTATTCCTTTGAGTTGATAAAAGAGAAACCGGGTTATTCCATCTATTTTATGCACTCTAAGAAATGTTTATCATTTTAAGTTGATATCCTATACAATGAAAATCGAATTAAGTAACGAAGAAATGTCTTATATTATAATTTCTTTTGTCAAATCTAAAATTTATTCTTGGAAACGTATAAAAGAATGGACTAATACGAATGAATTATTATAAAACAATTATATTTCTACGTTGTATTTCTATTTAATCAAACAAAAACAATTATTTTAAAATTCTTAATCATTCTCTGAAGTACAAATTAAGTTTATGAAAACTACATTACATTACCAATTCCTTGAAAATTTTAATCTAATTAAGTTAGTAATTATTTAAATGCGAATAGACTAGACTAAAAAATCTAAATTTTATGACTACTAATGTTTGTCAAAAAATTAACTATTATTAAATGCGAAGAAATATCTATACGTTAGATATAATTAAGTAGTGATTCTTTGAATTTTAGTGAAACTTTTTGTATTGAATAATAAACTTGATAATTTTAATTTATCAGCACAACTTACTCGTCAGATAGTAAAAACTTGTCACCATCAGATTCAACACATTTCCCTTTAATGCTAAATCTATTAGCCTGTACAATGATGGGCTGCCTTATACCAGACTGGAACCAAACACCTTCCCACCGTGTTGGAAATTGGCAACCATCTGAAATATTACAGATAAATAATGTAATTATTATAATAGACTATTATTTATATTTGATATATTCTTTAAATTTCTAACTAATATAAAATCGCAATCTGTTTTTCAGTTCCTACGCTTGAAATGTCGAATTTTTCTTATTCTTATATAATGTTCAATAAATATTTTACTCGAAACTCCGATCGAGTCATCGGATTTTCATTTGAATCATGTGGTTTATTTAATTATTATGTTAAACTGGGGGGACCGTCTTAACAATAACAAAATATTTCTTAACTGTAAGCATTCATTTTTTGTTATGATAAATTTAACTTTTGTGCTTGATGAAAATCGTGATTGAGTATATATAAAAAATATACAATTATAGTATCAAATTTACTATCTGAGAACGCGTGTCACAAACATACGGTTCAGAATCTGAAAAATGACCGTTTTTTAATTGAAACTTAATCTGTTACTTTTGTACTCATAGGTACTTTTTAGATATTTTCAAAGCATACCTTAAATCTGATAAGAAATTCAATTGAATAAAACTAATGGGAAAACTCTTTGGACGTGCTCTACTCTTCTAGCGCTTTCCACAGACTCTGACAAGCCATTTCCGACAGTCACGTCCATTACTGGTTACGGGCGTATTTGGGATCTGACGTTTGAAAAAAAAAATAAATAAGATCTCAAGTACTAGTACAACAAGCAAAACGGCTCTTGTTATTCGTTCAAATAAACATGGAAAATAATTTTAATGAATAACTAAAAGCTTATATGTTTATAAAATATCAAAATATAAACATATATTTAGCTCAACCAAGTATGGACGATTTTCAACGTTGTTTTATCTTTTTTTTTTTAATTTCAACGCCAGAACAATTGTGCAAGATGATTTCATTACGGTCTATTGAAGGGTCCATGGAGAACTCAGATTTTAACAATACATTAATGTTATAAATTTAGGGGTTACTCGTGATTAAATCAATTTTATAATGTACACATCTCAAACGAATTACATTAAGGAGACAAAGCACGTCGTATCTTGATTGATCATAAGCTTCACATGTTTAAGAAGAAAGGTCGTCTTGGTTACGTGCGCTGATTAGGGTTTTCAATCGATTCATTACATTTATGCGGTTTTGTATCAACCCCAACTCTTCGCACTCGCACTATTATTGGTTATGACATTTTGACAACAATTACCATCTATTATTATTACCATAATAATCGAAAATATGAAATTATTTGACCATTTCTCTTTTAACACCATTATTTGTAACAGTGTTAAGGAGAAACGCTTTGTTAAAATATTGTCCATTCTAACGAAGAACTCATTCTATTTAATTTTCATCTATTTGTGGCAATTTTTTTGCGCGTACACAAAATACCATGACTCGGATTTCATCAATTTTATAATTCTTAATATCAAATATAATAATTTTCCAGACGTTCTTTTTATTTCAGATTTAAATCATTCAATCTCTCATTTCTACTTCTAAAGAACTGCAGACGTTTTATAATAAAATTATACGCCCATGTGCGAGTATAAAACATTTGTATTAAGGGTACTTTACTTTTGAAAAATTTCATATATTTCTCAACACAACCATTGATTTGTTAAGAATAATACATTTTACAAAAGCCAGAAATTCATCTGTAGAATTAACTGTAGTTATTCTCCAATTTTAATTTTTACAAAGCTTAAAAATAAAATCATAAGCAAGAGATAAAATTTTTATGGAACTTAAAATGTAATTTAAAAAAATAAAAAACGTTTTATATTATTGCTAGTCTATAAAATTACTTTTAATAATTTTAAGTATTCATTTGAGTATTAAACCTAACATGTTTTCTGTAATTTACTAGAAGTTAAACAAAATATCTTAAAAATATTTCATTTGGTTACTGAAATGCTTTAATGTGTCTCAAATATAGGATTAATCAAAAAGAACAAAAAATGACCCCTTTTCATCTTTAAAATAAATCTCTCATCTATAAATCCAGATTAGCCATTGAAACCACTTAAATCAAGACATTTAGAAACACATTTACGAAATGAAACAAGACCACAAAGATTAAAATCCGCCTTATTAAATTGTTAATACTATCCTTATATATAATACAACAGACAATCAATGTTTCCCCAGACAGATTTTTCTTGTAAGAAATTTTGTAAGTCGTCGAACTCGTTTTGTTTGTTTTTAATTTACTAAACATTTTAAAATGTACGTTGTAATTTTTTTTAGTGAAAAAGCACTGAAACAAAATTAATCTAAAACGAAATATAAAATAAAAGACAAAACATTTTCCACAATGTCCTCTATTTGGTAATATCTTATTTTGTTCTATGCACGAGCAACATTTCTTTAGTCTTACCGTACAGTTGTATTAAATACAACAATTTCATATTTAAACATTTTTTGTTTACATTTTTGACATTCTTATAAATCATTTAAAGCTTTGACTAAGATTTTCATTTAGTCATGTTGAAACTTCAGCGTTTGATTAATTTTTTTTTTTTATTTATGTTATGTTATTTTATTTTTTTTTTTGTAGTCTAATACACCTAATAATATTCTATTAACTTAGAAGTGTTCAATTACCTTTGTAATGTAATATCGAAAAAAATATAAACAAAAAGAAATATCCTTGAAGTCTCCTTTCGTTCAATGTTCTCAGATGTTACTGCTAAAAGGTTTTAACTGAGCTTTAAAACAACAAACTATAAGCAAATTACCGGTGGCACTAATGCACGGACGTTTACTAAGCTATGTGATTATATGGAATGATAAACGACAGAATGGTGATGAACGATAATGGTTTTGGAAAACTGCGTTCACTTGAACACATGAACGAGTAACGACACCTACACGTGCCGCAATCGGATTGCACAGAGCGTTTTGTTTTTCGCAAAGTAAAGTCGCACAATGAGCTCGTATTAGAGTACAGTTTGATAGTACTCACACGCACAGGCAATATTATTGTACGTTTAAACGCATATGTATGTGGGTGAAACCGTTTACAAGGGAATTCAATTAAACACAAAGACGGCGGGTGAGCTGGCGTTTGAACAACGGCGACGATAAGAGCCAAGGCGACACGAAACGTTGGCCTTATTTTAAAACAGTGTTTACCGCGAGGGGGTGCAACTTTTCTCTCAATCCATCTAATCCTAAGGTGCCGCGCAGTTGATCGGATGACGAACCTCTGGCACATTATCGTTTAATTAGTTTTATCCGTTGTAAATTTTGCTTCGAAATTTCGCCGTGCACTTCGCCCCATGACAGTGTTAATCTAATTATGCAACGTGACCGAGTGCTCGCCCGTAAAGTGTAATGTGTACAAACATAATTATAATTATGGTCCCGCGCGATTTGCAAGCAAAAAAAATAAAGTAAATCAAATAAAAACAAAAAATACTCATTTTCTGGTTTAGAGCTTTTATTTTTTTGACAAATCAAATGGTCCTTTAGGGACGGAACAGTTTTGTTTTTGTAGCTCTCTGGAAGCGTAGAAACTGTATTGTTGTTATGGCCGCGGTACCGGGACTAAACGGCACTCGAAGGGTTGAGTGATGGAGCCAGGGAAAAGAAAGATGGATGAGCTCTAATGATGAAGCGCCGTGAAGGGAATTAGATGAGTCATCGCGGTTAAAAAAAAAAAAAAGAAACTTAGAATAATACGCGATATGCTAAACAACCACCCGCCTCATTATATTCACGAAATGGATTACTTTTTTTGTATTTGTATTTTTATCTATCACTCCGAAGGATGAATTTACATTGTATGTGCGTGACACCGTCGGTGCCGTTTTTGACGTACACTTACACACGGCAATATATTATGAACATCATAATAATCGTAATATTTCTCTTGCGGCACATGCGTTATGCGGTCTAAACCGTTTACCGATAACCGCATAATAAATGTAGCGTTTTTCCCCTTTTAAATTTTTTACGCGTTCTCACTTTTCCCAACGATTTTGCCTCTCGGCACCGGACAAATTTCGGCGAGGACGTAGTCGGTTGGAAATATAACGAGTAATTTAATAACATCGGAACGGGTACCATCATTTTTCAAACTTACCCCATCCTCGGGTCGACGTTTTAGCGGTTTTTCGACTGCATGTACCACCTTTGTTCGTCGACCCGGTCACACACACACACACACATTGACTTGTATACAAGAAATACATATAAATATTATACATATATTATAGTATATGTGTTTGAGCCGGTGATCGATACACGTGAGCAATTTTGCGTGACTACCGTGTGCTAATCGTACAAGGGGTGGGGGGGCTGTATTAGACATCATTATTTTTTACTCGCGTACACACGGCTTGCATCTTTCACCCGGTTAAAGCTTTTCGGCGTGAAAATTAAATATTAATTCAAGTAAAACGGTCGAACGACCTCGCTAAAACGATTAATACGTTTTATTTAAACCATTTAACGTAGCAGCCCTGGGTTTTTCTCACCCCAAACTATGTGTTGTACTTACAGGCTCTCTTGGCGAGGGAAAAGCTCAGATTTTTTAGGTACAATGAAAGAACTGCGATTATAATATTATTATTGCCGTTTTCTTACTGCACATTTTGCACCCGTATAATCGCTTTTCTCTTTCAAAGTGTAATAAATAACCACGGCATATGCGCGCCTACACAAATCAACCTTTATCCATGTTGGGCTTGGTCGTTACATTTTATATATTTATACATTTCCCCTTTTAAAGGCTTATGATTTCCGGTGTAAAACCTGTTATTTATTTAATCTTTCGGTAAGCGTTGTGAGTTATTTTTTTAGAGAACTTAAACTTTGCCATAACTCCATGATGTAATGCGATGAATTTCTTAATTGAATAATAATGTGCATAAATGCATTCATACTTTCGTTTTGAAGCATCTATTGGCGTTAATGGTCAATGATTTCAACATTTCATGATTTATATTCAGTGCATTTGACCAATTAAACAAAAAAAAAATCATTAAACTTTTAATTTAATTGAGTAATTGG